CTTTTCTGACACCTCTAGCTGAAAGTTTCTCAGACCTAAAGGATCGATAGGCCATGCTTTCACAATTTGTATTCTTACAGCTGGCTCTTCCTTTTTTGCTCAACATGAGATTTCTGTTCTCATTGAGCTTGCCTTAGAACACCTGCGCTATTGTTTCACAGATGTGCCGCCCCAGCCAAACTTCCCACCTGACTGTGCCCTCCTTATTGATAGGCACTCCGTTGGGTGCCCCATAGGAGCCGAAGGGCCCCGGCGTGTAGGGAAAACTCCAGCTCAATACGGATTGCGCTGCACACGCACAGGCGACCGGCTGCTACTCGGCGTCCACACGTTCTGGTGCTGTTGCTGCCATTGCTACTGCCGTTGCAGTTGTCGCAGTGATTTTGGCTGGTATTTCTTTGGTTCAGGAAAATACTAGCGTGTCCACTGTAAACATACAAGGAATTTTCTTGTTCGTTGATGTAGCATGGAAGGCTGCTGCCCCAGAAATCGCTGACGAAGTGGCAAACACGGCAGCGCAATGGAAAGGGGGCATCAGCAAATAGGCTGCATCCTGCCGTAACTGACGAGGTATCCATACGGGATGCTTTACACGGCCAGAACAGCCTATCACGAAGCCTTCTCATCGACCAAAGGAAGCAAGAGTTCCTCGACCCGTGGAAGCAATGCTCCGAAACAAATATCTCAACCAGCAAAAGCGGCTTCCGTCCGTTCAAGTGTGTAGACCCGTGCAGGCAATTGTTTGTACAGGCTTGCCGAACCATGAATGTAGCTGGGCTTAAAAGATTTTTCTTGATCCGTGAAAGCAACCGTTCTTAAAAGTGTCACTGCCCTTGAAAGCAGCTGTCCTCACATATTCCTCGATACACGAATGCCGCTGTGCAAACCCCACGTCACGGACCCACTTGACGACAGAGTGGGGCTGCTCCAGAGACGAGCGGTGTTCATGATTTGGAACATTTATGAAAGTTCCGCCAACAAGCGTTAAACATCTAGCTGGCGCCAGCGGTTTAACTTCTCTATATGGTGCCCTACTCGTTAAAAGCAAACTCGTGGGGCACACCACGGTGTACACCTGGCCAGACTAACAAACAGCTGCGCTTGCCTATTCCAACCTTTATATAATAAAACACCATATATTTCGATCAGCATAGTGTAACTGCCACTTACAGACCTCGCACTGCCGCTGCCGACACACTGGGCCCCTTGTTGCTCAACACCACATTCGGGACCACACTGATCTATAACGCTTCAACAAAGCGATAAACGCAGTTCGAATGCTAATTGATTTGGTTTGTTACGTACTACTCCTCTGCGATGCACCTCTTCTCCTTTAACACAATGCATTGGACAGCACCAAGTGAACCTCCTGCCACCGCTGCCCCGTCCGGCACTTGAGTATGCGCCCCCCGCGTGGGGATAATCGACTGTTCTTTCAGCTGTACATGCATCTTCTTCTAGGTTAATTCGTACAGGGAGAAGCATCTCCTTTGCTGTTTGATTGGGTGTTGATGCTTCTTTTGACGTGCTTGGCCTTGAGCCACTTGCGTCTGTGCATTTCACTCTCGATAGTGTACACTGCATCTGCGTGCACCCACTGCAGTTTTCTGGATGCATCTGCTCTACACTTTTCGTTGAGCGCTTTCCATCAACATCCAAGGCCATACGTGTTGGCCACGCTGTACCAGAAGCTCCTGGGGACCTCAGTGCCTGGTGTGCGGTACATCGGCCCGGCCGCTCACACTTACGGAACAATGGCAGCTAAGGGGATCAAGGGATTGAACGCTATGTCTAAAGCACACGCAACGGAGGACGAAACCGCTCCAGTTGCAGCAAGAACAAAGAGAGAACTGGAGGGTACGGGCGTGGTTTCCATGCTGCACGCGCGTCTGAAATGCTGCTGCTGCTGTGCCTTCTAATATCATGCATTGTTTACTGGGTAATGAGCTGGGAATTATATCGATGGAAGCTTTTCTTTGTAACGTTCGCTTAATGCACAGGTGCCCTAGTAGAGCAGGAGGGGGAAACCCAAGACCAGCTGCTGGCAGCAAAACTTCAAAGTAGCAACATCGCGGCCTTAGGAATGAACTCAGCAGCAGTAGAAAAGGAGGAGGGGACAGAGGATTTGGGTCCTGATGGGGATTCACGTCCCGCAAAGAAGCGACGTGGGGCCCCCAAGGCCCGCGCCAAAGCTGGAAAGAAGCATGCAACAGCTACAACAGCACCACAAAGTAGTCCTCTACAGCCAGACGAGGAGTTCAATGCTCTGGCGGCATTGGCCGCCAAGAGCCGCAAGTTTGTGGGGGCTCACATCTCAGCAGCAGGTGGCGTGCACAATGCTCTTATTAGCTGTTTCAATGTGAAAGGTAAGATCCACCCGGCCGCTGCTAATGACTTGTCGACATAAAATCATTTGCCCTCCTCCCCTTCAGCGGAATTTCACCTACCTGGATGTTATCGCGAGTTTGCTCCAGCTACTCTACAGTGGGTAAAGCTGAAGGGTCAGGAAGACGTCGTGGTTTGGGGTTGAGAGTTCAGGACTTTCTCTTGTGTGGCGAATGAAACAGGGCAGGCTTTCGCACTGTTTCTTAAATGCCAACGAAAATGGGTTTCTTCTCCACTGGTACGTGCCAACAGATTGTGTCAGTCCGGACTTAAGACAAGGGCCGTTGCTGTTGCTTGCTCTGTGAGGAAGGCCTAAACAACGATTCTCGGGGGGAATTGCGATGATTGACTCAGACCGAGACGGCGATTAACGGTTTTAAAGAACGGTGTGACCAGCTGGAGATGGACATGGCTACGCAAGTGTTGCCTCATGGTAGCTACCTTATCAATGTGGCCAATCCAGGTGATGCACAGAAGGCTTTGAAACGCTGTGCTCGCCTACAGCGAGCAGAGCGGTTCCCTTTTAAGCAGGCGGGGCCATTTCGTCTTAGAAGAACCATTGTCGTAGACTTACAAGAACGGTTTGTAGTTCGGTTTTTTCGTTTGCCATGGTGTGTTGGACAGACAAGACAAAGCAAGAAAATGCGTACAAAGCCCTTCTTGACGACTTGCAGCGGTGCGAAACTCTTGGCATTAAGCTTTATAACATCCACCCAGGTCAGCCGCTGTTGGTAAACCTTTGAATTATGGGCGGGACAAGCAAACCGTCACAAAGCGGGTCACTACATGTGTAACTACAAGTGTTGTTACTGGCAAAGTGCATATTCTACAAGCAAAACTGTCAGAACTAACATATTTTACCGTACAAGGCGTATTACTGTCGGCATTAGCACATAGGCGTACTACATAGGCACTGGAGCTACAGAAGTGCACAAACGATTTGAACCGGACAAGCCCAGCCTCGGGATGTAACGATAAATACTTTGACACCTCTCTCTCTCTGCAAACTGACATGGTCGGGCGTATGGCTCAAATTACGGCAGCCGCCTTCCTACAGTTGGTGGTGAATTTTTCACATATGGAAAAACCGGAGCGATTCCATTCAGGTGTAAAGCGAAGGACACTCGGTTAAAACCTAAGTAATTCGTTTCAGGAGTAAGGTGAAGGGCGCTGGGTAGGGACCAAAGTGATTCGGGTCCAAACCACTTTGGTCCTTACCCAGTGCAATAGCTTCACTAGCTTGCATACCCCCGAATTACATGGGTCCGGTGTAATGCGGGGGTATGCAAGCTACTCCTGCAGAGTGCAGCCTCTTCTGTTTGGCAGTGACCAGGCGCAGAGCGGTCTCGTGGGGTTCATCTTCCTAGACGCATACATTGGGGACTTGATTTGGGTGCTAGTACAGTGTTGCATCTCAGTGACGTGGAAAGGGTGAATTATCTGTGGGGGTTGCGATGTATCCTGGATGCCTTGCAGGTTCCACTGTGGGTGACTGCAGCAAGGAAGAGGGAATCCGTAATATCGCAGTAAGCTTCGCTTGGGATCGTGTCGATGGACAACTAAGCGGGCCACTTCGCTTAGGTGTGTTGCCTCAGCAGGAAAGAGGAGTGGCTATCTTTTTTTTCCCTCAACGCTTTTGCTTTTGGTGACTGTTGCGCCTACTGCTGTCTGCAGGCAGCAGTCAACAGGGCCCACAAGGACACGAAGTTTGTTGTGGTTGTGCTAGAGAACATGGCTGGCCAGAAGAATGTCGTGGGTAGTAAGTTCGAAGACCTCCGCGACATCATCGATCTCGTTGAGGACAAAGATCGAGTACGCTCTTACGGGAAGAAGCAGTTCGCTTCATGGCAGGAGGCTGCTAAACGCTTTCGACAGTCGGACATATACGCATGAGACACTCGTGCAAGCTTCAGGCTACAGGAGCTGCCTGGAAACGTGTACAGCGCAGCCTTGCGACATGCTGTGGTATTTCAGGTCGGCGTCTGTCTCGATACGTGTCATCTCTTTGCGGCTGGTGCGTAACTAAAGGTGATACTAAGGACTTCAATTCTGGATCCTCTGGTCATTCTACCGCAGAAACAAATTCTGTAGTTGTGAGACATGCGAATCCACCAGAGCTCGGATGGGCTAAATCGGCTGTAAACTCTGCCTAAGACTTGCTTTGTAGGATACGACATTCGCAATGCGGAGAAATTTGAGAAGGTGATGGAAGAGTTCGACTCTATCGTTGGCTACAAGTTCCTTAAGGGGATGCACTTGAATGACTCAAAATCCCAGCTAAGCTCAGGACTGGACAGGTAGCGCTCGTCTGCGCACATCTTCAAATTGCCCATACACCGCCCCACACAGCTTCATGCATACCTGTTGTGGGCGTAGAAGGGAATGCAGCTGCTCGTAGTATCTTATCCAGTACGAAATGTGCATGCTAGCAAATGACTTCGTCGCTACTTCTAGGTTCTCAAAGAGCTAACTGATGCACGAGGTGCTGGAGAAAGAACGAGTATGCTCTCTTGTTCCCCTGTGTGCCGTGGCCAGTGCGTCGCCTGCCTGGGCTTATAACCGCTCACGTGCCATCTCCACCACTGTGAGTACCTTGGCCGCTGGTTTGCAGACACGAGCTGCTCGGCAAGGGCCACTTGGGCTTGGAACCGTTCAAGTATATCATGAGACACCCAAGCCGATTCAAGGATATGCCGCTGATACTAGAGACCCCGGACCCGACCGAGGGCAGCATATGGAAGAAGGAAATAAAGCAGATGTACAGTTTCTTAGATGCAAAGGAAGAGTAAATTACGATTCCTAACTTGCTGCGGTCTTTCCTGCTGCCTCTCATGCTCCCTTGCACTGTGTGCATGCCGCCGCGTCGGAATGTACAAAATACGTTCCACGTACTTCCCATCAGTTCGAAGGAAGTGTATGTCTAGACGCACCCATCTAAGTACGCTTTTAAACTGATACAAAACGCTTTGTCACTGGATAGGGCTTGCAGCTGAGTTGATGGTTAAAAGGAACCGGGGTTCTGCCTGTCCAGAGCCACTAGGCACTTGAGTGGGCCTGTAGAGCTTCTCTGCTACCCACACCCCTCATGAGGTCAAGTAGGGTCGTGTCTGGCTTTTATTCCCGGTACTGCCTTTCACTAAGCAACAATAACAGCCCGCAGGGGCCCTCACTGTGTTGAAGCAACCCTAGTCTAAGCACTCCCCTATTTAGCTCCAGTTCCTGCGTAATTTTTAATGCGCACAACCAATACTGTCTTTTGGATTTATCAGGTAAACTGTCTGCTTGAAACCCTGCACGTCCAGGGCAGCTACTGCTGTCCCTCCGGCTACTGCGTCACCGCATGCGTGCAAGGGCTTCCTACGCTGCAACCGCAGCACGGCGGTTCAGCCCTCCAAACGCACCAGCGGCCTATGCTGCTGCAGCTACTGCCTCTCAGGCTGAAGAGGACACAACGCACTGGCGGGCAATGACGTCCAGCTCCTTCTGACCGAGCTTCGTCAAGCGCCTGCCACTGCAGCACAGATGTACACACTCCCAGAGCAGACGACCTGCTACCTGCGACCCCAGAAAAAGCAGAAACAACCACTACAAAAGCAGCAAGTAAGGTTGGCTGCACCAAGTGGTAGTGCCGCTCACTTGTCTGGGCGGGACTCCACAAGACCCATTGCCTCGAACTGCTGAAGAATGTAGCGGATAATCTTCCCGCTCGCCTGCGCAGACACACACCGACGAGCAGAAAGCAAGTGCACTACAGAACAGCATGCACACCAACCATGGATGAACAATAAGCGCTGTAGCCCCCAAACGCCAAACAATGTAGAGCCTCCACCACCGTCCACAACCGTCCACAGAATGACGCACCTTGCTGGTATGTCCTGGGATGCACTTTTTGCCAGTCTTGCAGGAGAAGAACTTCCTGAATGCCCCCACGCCGCAGTTAGGACGCAGATAAAGATGACGCAGAATGGCCGCCGCACGTTTGTAGATCCAGTCAGGGTCCTGGGGGGCCAGGCTCTTGCCCTGCGCGAATCCAAATAGGACAAAGACCCCCGAGTCTTTTGTAGTACTTTTTTGCATTGTTTTATTTAAAAAATAAAATATCCAGAAAAGTCAAGTAGTGCAAGCATACGGCAAAAGAGATGGGGAGTGCAGCCTCACATTTAAACCGAATGCCCTGCTGGGCGCCGGCAGTACCTCTGACAGAGTTGCTATCTATGTGATCCGTGTGGGAATGCGAAACTTACATATCCCGTCTTAACCAAATCCGCCCACATGGGGACCTGGAACTTGCCTCTCTTCTTGAGATGGTTTGCATATGCCTGGATGAATGTCTGCGCGATGACGTCCTTCACCGTGTACACGGGAGCGGGCCCGAGCCCGTATTCCTCGAGGAATGCGTCCATCTGCATCAGAAAGACCCAACAATAATGAAACGAAATCAACTGGCATTCACAACAGCAAAATGAACGAGGCACCTTCCCGCCACAACGCCGTTCCTCCCCAACGCCGCCGTTCGGTTATCCACAATGCCGACCAGCACCCGCATACCAGCCTAGGCACGGACAAACGAAGTTACGAGATTATGCGGACAGCAATCGGACCGTCTCAAAGATATAAGTAACGAACACGCACGAGCCCGGCACACGCCGACGGCAGGAGTTAGATTCCTACTGCATGCCACTGCATGCAACCGGAATCTAACGCTTGTGATCTGTTCCCAAGAAACAGGCAGCGGATTATAGACAGCATAAACCACAGAGGATATAAAGCAGCAGAGAAAAGAACACCCAATCTCCCTAAGAAGGCCCTCAGCCAACCTCCGGCCACCGACAGACGTGGCAGAAGCGAGGAACTGCAGTTACTGCTCGCCGTTCTATCTGGATTTCGCTCGGTCGTAACTTCTGTATCCATAACATCTAGAACCGAGAAACAGGAAACAGAAACAAGGCTTCAGGACCCCGACGGTGCAGCGGGTTTGCCGGGCTAAAGCGACGATGCGCTGCTGCGCCCAAGGCAAAAAGGGGTGAGCGTTACTCACTTTGCGCAAAGACTCTGGGTCTCCACCGAAGATGTTACGAACCACAAAACACGACAAAATATGCGTTTTTAAAGAGCATACCCCAGCTTCTGGTGGTGCAGTTGGGCTGGGGTCCATCTACACTGGCGGCCGCCCCCCACAGGCCAAATGCAGCCCCAAGGCGAAAGCGTGCGGCTTTGCGCAAGAGGGGCAACAGAAATTATTCAAGTCTTCGAGCCAAATTCCTTTTGCTCATCAGAAGAATGTTCTAAATTCAATAATAATTACTTAAATTTGCATTATAAGGTGTTTATCTTCATTTGGATTTGCATTGTAAGATGCTTCATTGTATTTTGCTCGCCTCTGCTACCGCCAGCCCCAAAGGGGCAAGGCCGGCGCTTGCTGTGCCCTTAGAGTCACGGGTCGGTGGACGGCAGCTTTGGCCAGATGCACTGGTTGTAGTTCATTGTCTGTTTCAGAGTTTTGCTTGATGAGGACTACGCTTCCTGCCTGTTTATGACCACATTGTCTCTGGCAACTGCCTCACGCGCTCCAGATGCATCGACGCTAGTCCGGACTGCCAACTGACACGGCGTCTGCGTCTGCCACTTCCAATCCGCAGGGGTTTATATACACCAGTTGTTGGGTTTTGGCTTTTTTATATGCGCAATAAACAGCTCAGTAGAAGGCAAGCCGCTAGGCAGTCCCTCGCGGACGCAGACAACCGGCAAGCACGCTACTGGGGCGGGTTGGAAAAGGGCATTTGCCACTAGTGCCTTGCGGTTATGTCTCCATCCTAAGCAAAGAAGCACGTTTGACTCAATACCTCTGTTTTGTTTGGGGTCCCTCAGTTGGTTTCTTTCCCGGCCGAGCAGCTGCACACCGGACCAGACCAGACCGGTGGTCCTCCTCCCCGCTCCCTCAGAGGATGCCAAGCTCAGCCCACAAAGACAGCGGGCTAACTCACTGCGTCTTTACCAACAGTGTGCGAAGTTTGCTTAGCCGGGGGACGTCGGTCAGGTCTGCCCGTGGCAACCTTCGGAATTCAGACACAGCGGCCAGTGCACCGCCTCCGCAGCATCTCCGCACCGACAGCATGAGTGCCTCCGCCTCTGCGCATCAAACGGCTCGGCCCGTCTTCGACGGAGGGATGGCCGATGAGGCAGCTGCTGTTAACGCGCCAGGCCCCTTTTGGAGGCACCAGAGCGAAGAGACCCTCTTCCGGCCCCCCAAGGTCCCCTTCCCACCTCCCAGCAGCGTCTCAGTAGAGGCTGTTTGGTCCTGGCAGATGGGAGAAGGCTTGTGGATTCCCTTCGATCTCCGAGTCATGCATCTTCTGGAGAGCCTTTGGGTGCACTTACAGGAGCGTGACGCCCCTCCACACGCAGTCCAGGGGACGCGGGAGGAGACTCAGGAGTCACAGCAGCCACAGGAACAGCAAGAACAAGAGCAAGAACAGGAGGACGAGCAGGGACAAGAATTGGGGCAGGAATGGGAAGGGGATGATGAACAGGATGTGGGGGACCAAACGGGAGGGGGGGGCCCAGAATCGTTTGTGCAGCAGAGCCAGAGGCTGTACGTACAGCTTCTGCCGTGGCGTTATTGCTTGGACCTGCGTACGATGACACAGAAGAATCTCTCGACCCACAGAGTGAGGCCTATCCGCAGGGTTTTTGAGACGGTGGGCTTGTGGTTCGCCCGTGGGACGGACGGATACGCAGAGAGGTGCGTCGACCTGTGGCACATAGGGTACACAACTTGGTCCTGATGCTGTCATCTCTGCAGTGCACAGCCAGACAGCAAAAACTTGGAGACGTGCATCACTAGGCAGTTATTGACGGGAAGGGCGATAGGAAAACATGGCGCCAGACGATATGTTTTCCACACGATGCAGACGGTGCATGCTGCAATATGAGGAAGTGTTAACATTTATTGTCGCCAGCCTTCGTCTATGCACGCATCCTCCTTGCCGTTAATCCGTTTATCTTTTCACCTGTTGTTTCTTACGACGACGGGTGCTGCAGGTTTGCGCCAGAGTTGGAGGTCCATTTGGAAGGCGTTTGGCAAGACTCGCGGGACGGGAGGAGGTCACCCGGACCGCTAGTCATTGCTTGGCAGGACCCGAGCACGGGCAGTGTACACTACACGGACGTCCGCGCAATGAAAGAGTCGACGGGAAATGGCAACCACAGAGAGGTAAGCTTTTATGTTTGGTTGCAGCGGGATTCATTGTGGTGAGAGCTCAAGAATAGGGAGGAATGAATGAGATCCAACGGGGAGCAGCAATACAAGCTATCTGGGAAGACAACGCCAGGCAGCTCCGGACAGTCACAACGGGCTTTCCCGACTCCACTCCTTGTGTGTGCTAGGAATAGAAGTTGCACGGGAAGGAGTGCGTTTTGGTATGTAGATTTTTTTGCCCAGGAAGGAGTGCGTAGGTGTGTAGCTTTCTTATCTGCCACCGTGGGAGGCACTGCTTGTGCGGACAGATCATGCGCATGGAGCTCGTCTGCGTGCCCCATGACCGTTCAGTGCCCACTGACGATTACGACAAAGCAGGACATCCGCTTCCTGTGTTACCTTCCCTAGCGGTTGGCAAAGAAGAGTCCGGGGAGGCTTTCTGTAGGGGGCACAGAGAGTGGTTCGATCCAGAAGATTTCCAGGCAGCTCTCGCTACGGTACACGCAGACGGTGAGGCGTAGATCGAAAGCTACAAGGAAGAATACAATCTACCGCTGGCGCTTAATTGAGAAGGACACTGCCGTTGACTATTAGTGTCGTACCAGCTTCTTTCTACGTTTGGTGTAACAGTGTTTCATTGATGGCCAGGTAGTAATACAGTGAAGTATCAAACCAGCACCGGGGGGTCCCACCTTTTCGATCTGTGCAGAAATACCCGACGATGCTTGCGCTATCTGCCTCGAGACCTTTGTGGTCAGAGCCAGCAGAGACTCGCAGGAAAATCAGCAGCAGGAATTACAACAAACCGATGCCAATGCCCGAGCTAACAGCGTCAGCAGGGGCATCAGCAGCAATGTGAGCAACAGCAGCAGCGGGGACAGCAGTCCTAGCAGCAGCAGCAGCAGCAGCAGCAGCAGCGGAAGTATCGGGAACAACAGTAATGGGAGCAGCAGCAGTAAATGTGGTAGCAGCTGCTGCAAAAACAGCAGCGACAGGGACCGCAGCACGCAGGAACGCCTGCAGAGTCTCAGCGTCTCAGAAGGCTGGAGTGAAGTGGAGCCTTCTGAAATCATCGACTGCGAGGCCAGCAATACCTCCAAATCAAACTTTATGGACTGCAGCAGCAGCAACCAAGAGGTTGTGAAGCTGCGGCACTGCCCGCACCACTTCCATTACGACTGTATACGCATGTACATGCAGAGGTGCAGCAGGGGAGGGTTCTTCTGCCCCACATGCAATGTGTTGCAGCTTCCGGGCAATGGCCCCTCTCCACCAGGTGGGATACATGTTTCGCTGTTTTACTGGCTGCAGCGGCTTGGGTTGTTTGGTGCTGTGCTGCTGCTGTTGCAGCTGCATACGGTTGCGCTGTGCTTGTCACTGCCTGTGCTCTTGTTCATCTCAGGGAAAATGTCTTGGAGGATCTCCCGGCACTCTTTGCTTGAGGGGCATCCCACAGATGGTGGGACCACCATTAGCTTTCGTTGCTGTGTGGACTTCTGTCTACGGAAAATGAAGCATTAACAGCAACAGCAACAGGAGCTGCTGTTAGTGCTGCTGAGGACGGTGGTGCTGCTGTTGATTTTGAGGCAATTGGAATGTGAGGGGTGGCGTGGGTGTTGCCACAGGGACCATCATTATAGAGTACGTGGTTGAGGGAGGCATTCAGACGGAGAGGCACGCTCACCCTAACACTCCTTTCACGGGCACTCGGCGACAGGCGTTCCTGCCGGATTGTATGCTGGGCCGGCAGTTGTTGCGACTACTTATTCGCGCGTTTGTTAAGGTATTAGGAACACAACATTGAGCTTTGCATCTTTTCCTTTTTGACACCCCATGGTGGCCCAATGAATGACAGCCCGTAATACATGGCTGTGTGGCACGTCTCATTGCAGTTTTTGCTGCTTCGACTGCTGCTTACACCAGGGCCACACTTTTACTGTGGGGAACAGCGTTACGTCGGGCCAGTCTAACGTGGTAGTCTGGAACGGAATTCACCACAAGACAAGCGTTTCCGGCGGTAGGCTTTTGCGTCCCGTCCTTGTCTGTTATCTAAGCTTAGTCGGCTGCCTTTGATGGTGTGATTGACCCCCTAAAGTTACATTCGCGTCGCTTTGCTCACCGCGTGGATCTGTTCTGTAAGGAGGGTGGCACGGACATTTCCACATTCTTGCGTTGCTTCTGTTGTGCCTCGTTCCTTTATTTCACCTGGCGCAGGGGTGCTGCGTTACGGGTACCCCGATGACACGTTTTTGTTGCGCCTGGCTGAGGAGCTCAGAGCGCGAGGCTTTCCCTTAGAGCATGATCAACCGAATGAAGGGTAAGCGCTCAAACAGGAAGTCGTGCTTGCGTGCACCTGCTTACTAAGTAAGCACTGCGAGTTGAGGTTCATGGCATTTCACGCAGCTGGGAGTCTGGGTGTTTGCACCGCTGCATGGCGAGAGGCTTAATAAGGTGGGATAGGACAGAGGGAATGCCGCCCTTTGGTATGACGCTGCGTAAGAATGAGTTGGCCTGTAGCCTTGCCCCACCAAGTACATGAAAAGGACGAGGAACAAAGCGATGCTGCTTTGCGGTAATGCGCGGTGTATGGAGACAGGGCGGTTTTCTTGCTGCCCGGGTGCTTCTGTATCGCCCTGCTCCATTCACAAATTGGTGAAGCACCCCCTGCTTCTCAAAACCATGCGTTGCTCCACGGTGAGGGGTCGAACACGACAGTTAACACTATGCTGTGTGGGGGGAGGCTTCACAGCCTCTTAGTACACCGCGGAGGATCACTCCCATCTACCATGCGACGCCTCCCCCGCGCCACCATTCACACAGGGGGGGTACGCATTACTATCCTCAGCTCAAAAACTCCGGACCCGCATCAACTCAATGTTTTTGCGTAGTGGGTACTGGTGGAAAGAACATCGTACACAGCAGTGTCGCGGGGCTCCGACGGTTCAGCAAGGGAGCCATGACAAGAGACGAAAACCGTCTCTTGCCGTGGTGGCTGAGGTGCCGCAAGCTAACCCTTTAATGCCTCGCCATTTGTGTCCGCACACTATAGAACCAAAGGCCCATGAGGGGGTGCCCCTGGCATTGCAAGTGCGGGAGAAAGCGCACCGACACATTAGAACACGCACTACGGAGTCACGTTGAAGTTGTTTTCGTGGGGATTCACTGGCAGCTAAAGACGCTCTGCACTATTACGGTGGCGCCGGGGCGGGGTGGGACGGGAACGAACTGGTTTTGCAATATGTAAACGAACAAATATATTAATGTTTCAGGTGCTAGTTCCGCTGTGGGGATACCCCTAATCCAGGGCGTACGAAGACCGAAGCTGCACAAGCGCCGGCGACCAGCTGCTCAGCATGGCAAGATGACCCACGGGACAGAATGGGTTCAACCTGTGGAGAATTAGGAGACTTATGGATTGCTAAAAGGCAAATGCAAGTAAATCTACTTGTTCTGAACTGCACATACCAGCAAAAGGGCAAAAACCAACAGTGAACGACACCTAGGCCCCCACAACCCTGAGAAGACAGCGGAGGAGCCGGTGGCGTTGGAGACGGGATGCATGCATGCATGCGCACCACAATGATGCGTTGCTGCCTTACAGATTGTATTCGAAGGAACACAGTTCTCTGCGTCTGTAATAATTTCTGTAAGCGAAAGAACTGTTGGTACTCGTTTCCGCATATCTCTGGATGGTATAAGCTAGAGCACCGACAGCTACCAGCCTGTCCAGGTGTAGCTAGCGTTCTCGAGCTTATCCGAGGACTATACTGAGCTACAAGACCCAATAACACTAATTAGAAGCGTTCCAAAAAGCAGCTATTTTCCCAGCCTGTTTTCAGGCTGCCTGAAAGAGCCTGGGTATACCATAGGGCGTCGTTGGTGCATGAACTGTTACGCTGCGTTCGCATCAGGCAGGCTCAGTTCTTCAGGCAGATCCAGCTCCAACTGCCGCGAAGGGGGCAGTGCACTTTACTGGGCCAGTATTGACACTGAGATAGCGCATGGCATAAACTCCCCCAGTAGTCCCGTCAATAGACGGTAGATAGTCGGCAAATAATGTTTTCCATACTTTATTCCCGAGCTAACGCGCTACGGAATGTTAGCTAACCGCCATACAGGCATATGCCCTGTCGATGCGACAGAAAGCAAAAGGAGCACTGCAGCTGCAGCTCTCCGGTGCTTGCGGGTACGCCTCCTCTAAGTACTTAAGAATATATGTGTACGGTTTTGCGCGGATTACGACAATTGTTCCGCTTTTACACAAGATTTTTCTGATATGGCTGGGTGGGAAATATTGTAGCTCATACGGCTCGGCGAGGCACTGCAGATGCACACAGGTCCTCACCTTCAGGGTCCAGGATCTGGCATTCGCTGTCCCTGATGGAGACCAGGGTACTGGGTAGTTAGTGCGTTTTGCATATTAAAACCCATAAAGGAACCATCTTTATAGAGGTATATGCGAGTATGATAGATGCTTCTTGGCGGCTCACAGTACCATTTGTCCCTCCCAGGCTCTCTCATTGTTATGATGCTGCCCCGGCAATCAGGGGCTGGTCCCTCTGCGGGGATAAACCTGCATTTGGCACTTCTACCCTCTGGCCCGGGCGGTACTGAATGCGTGCCGGGCTTGTGGAGGCTGGAAGAAAGGAGAAAAATTGATGTGAGCTTTTGCTTGCCGTCTTTTCTCACAGCGGACACGAGCAATGGAAGGAAGCACAGATACCCTACTGTAAAAAGAACCTTAAGCTACTCGTACACCGGACTGCCCCGTTCACGCCGCACCCGCAGAGAGGGCGAGCGTTGCCGCCGCGGAGAAAGGCCTCCAGACAGGGCGGAAGTACTACGCGCGTGCTGGTGCTGCTCCCTGCAGAAGCAGCGGCAGCAGCAGCAGAAACACCGCAATACGATGGCAAAAGCTTGCGAATAAAGGCGCCATCATGACTCTGGAAAAAACTGGAGAATAGAGCCAGAGGCGAAAATGAGGACAAGCGCAGAAAAAGATAGCGCGGTGGAGATGAGTGACGGCTTCACCGCGTGAAGTGGCTAACAAGGAAGAAGGGAGGAGTAGAACAGAAGGCACGAAAGAGATACAACGAAACTTACCGCAAGGCCCGCTGCTGTCCCTCAGCTGCTTGCAGCTCCTCTGGAGTTGGGGGGATGTAAACGCCCTACATACATTCACAAAGCAAGCCTACCTCAGCACAGCAACTGGCGCTTGCACGAGATTAACACGCGATTGTTAAAACAGGGAAGAATCAAGCTAGAATCATCACTGGAAGACCCAACATAAAAACAATACTATAAAAGGCGACAAGAGGGCCCCCAGAGGGGTTTGATGCAGCTTACCCCTGCCCTTGACTTCCACTGGCCCAGCCGCGTGTCCCACATCTCCCCTTTTGCTCTCCGTCTTTGAGGAGAGGGGCTCCTCACCGCAAACCTTCGTATGCACAATGAACAAACACTTCGTCTAGGCATATAAACGGCAACACCTTGAAACTCAACCCGGAAATACCACAACAGGCATCCCGCAAGGGCCCCCGAAGCAGTACCGGGGCCCCAAGCGAGCTGCAGAGAGAGCCGGAACCCACAAAAAGGCCACAAATTTCGTGGGGCCTGACGGATGCAGTCGCTGGTTGTTCAAGAGCATTCCAAGGGGCATCTCCCCCAGAACAGCAGCAACGGCAGATGAGAACAGGGGTTAGAGCCTGACAAGACAGCCCTCACTCTTCGCAAGAAGTGAGGACCATGACAAGCAAAAGCAGCATAAGACGCGTACCGGTCATGAGTCCAACTTCGAGGGCTTCTGCTGCGCCGGCGCGACCTCCCGTTGCTGCGCGGACCCCACAAAAAGACAATCGCACTCGAAATGCAATGAAACGTCCAGAGCTTCCTTGAGGGAAACAAAGGGTTTTCAACTGGCATCAGCACAAACTGGTGGGCGAAGGACTCCTCTGCCGGGAGCGTTTGTTGCAGAGGAGGCACTACCGCACCGCCGAACCATAGAGGGATGCCAGCGCCATGCAGAATTACGGGCACAGGAAAGAGCAAAGGGGGAGAGGAGGGATAGGGAGACAAGAAACATCAAAGATACTGCTCAAAGGGACAGACTCGAACGTGTAGGCCCGGGGGTCGTGCGCCGCGAAGAGAGGATTGGCGCGCTGTCGCGGTGGAGACATGGAAGCCCGTCTGAAGCAGACAGAAGCCGGGAGCAGCAAAAGCACACCGTAACAGGCGGTTCATGCAATCCTAAGGGAATGAGCGACAAACAACCATATGCGTGAGGCGCGCCAGATACACCGTGAAGGCTGCGCAGAAGCGGAGACGACGCATTACGGATATAAGTTCAGTAGCAGTAGACCTATGAAGCGATGGACGGCACCCAGCGGCAGATGCAAAAAAAGCAAATATAGGAAACGGAAACACACAGGAGGCTGGGCAGCATAACAAACGAAACCGCTCTCATCGACATGTCCCATTCACATTCGGGCAAGAGACCCCACGCAAGCTCTACGCATCAGCCAAGGAAAACGGCTGCGGAACAGCACGCCTGGAAGCCGCATGGCGCGACGCCAGAAGCAAATCACCCAGGTGCACAGCTAGCCAACCAGGTACGCAGCTAGCGTGCCACCGTGGGCAGCTAACCAGCCACCGTGGGCAGCACACGCGATATCGAATAAACTGTCCCGTAAAGGCTGCAACAAGCACGCGCAGCTGTGGCTCTGCGTAAAGGTGCTGCAGAGAAGGTCCCAGTGCCTCCTTATTGAAGTGTGCTCCTTAGAGTGTAACCGAATCTAATGTTTCAAACTTAGGACAAAAATATGTCGAGGGGCGAAGGGCAGGTTGCTGCGTTGATGCGTACGGTGGGTCAGTCGCTACAAACAGGAACAGCAGCACACGGAGCTACAAAGCCATTACCTCCAAGAAAAGGCACGCAACAGCAACAGCAGCAGCAGCAGCAACAGCAGCGGCTGTAACAAAAGCAGCCCCGTAGCAGCATTCTCACTTGAGGGAAAATGTTTCCTTCCTCTGCTGCCACTTCCTGAATAGGAAGCCCGACACGTGCAGCTCCGTACCCTAGTGCTGCTCCGTCTCCCACTGCTGCTTCTTCGTCGTCTGCTGTTGCTCCTGCTACTACTGCTGCGGCGTCTTCTGCTTCTTCCGCGTCTGCTGCTGATGCTGCGCCTAGCCCTGTCGCTTCTGCTCCTACTTATGCTAGTGTTGCCTCGGTATTGGTGGCGCCTGTAGTGAGTTCCTCTAGAGTCCTCCTCCCGTCCCCCGATGCTTCTGCTGCTGCTGGTTCGGCGGCTGCTACGGCTGGTGTTGCTGCTGCTTTCCCAGCCATGCAGGCGTCTGGTGAGGGCATGTTTCGGCCTCCCTACTGGTCTGTTGCTCCTGCCCTTTCCACTGATGCTCCTGTTGCTGTTGCTGCTGCTGCTGCGTCTCCTCCTTCCGCTGCGGCGGTAGGCACGTTCTGCAGCTAAAGGACTCCGCGGGGACCTTTTTATCGAAGGAGGTGAAATGACTATGACATCATCGGACGAGCCGCTAGACGACCGACTGCGGGGCCCTGCTGTTGCGGCGGGCCCTTCAATGCTGCTGGCTTCAATGTTCTTGCTAGCGCTGCTGCCCCTAATGTTCTCGCTGCTGCCCCTAATGTTCTTGCTGGTCCTGCTGGCCTGTTTTTCGTTGCCGCTGCAGTCTTTGAGGTAGCAGCAGTCATTGCTGGTGCCTCCGTGGCTGTCTTTGCTACTGCTGCTGCTGTTGCTGCGGAGGTCGGTGGCAACGGTACGCTCGTCGCTAGTATTTACAACTTCTCTTGAAGCATCTGGCGTGTTGGAGTTGATTATGGAGGTTATGTTCGCTTGGCTGCTGGTGCGGCTGTTGGCTGAGGAGCAAGGCGAAGAGCCGCGGCTGCGGGCGGTGGTGTGGGGCCCCATCAAAGCAACTTGTCCAAGACCCTAGCCCTGCGCGCCTCCCTGGAGCGTGTCTACAGCTTAGCAGAGACAGCTTCAGGCCACAGATGCACTTCAAAGCTTTGTGCAGACATCCCACTAAATTTCTTCCTCAAGGGTTCCGTAGAAGCGGAGATGCGGGCCCAGGGGCAGCAGCTAGCGCCTAAGGACAGCAACGGCAGCCACCAGAAGGTAGCTGCTCCCTGCCTTCTTCGTAAGCCAGATGGAGGAAAGCAGAGCTATTGTTGCATAGCCTCCTCCCCTACTGCTGCGTCATGATCCAGGGGGCCTCTCTATGCAGATGGGGGGCCCTGCGCAGGCCCCAAAACTATGGGGTGCCTTGCCCCCAGGGGAGACTCTGTTCTCAGGAGAGATCTGCCTGCATGGAAAGTGTCGAAGTAAATACACTTCAGCTAAACTGGCGGCGCAGTGCAACTCTCCACTGTAGGCGGGGCCCCTGGGGAGGGCGAGACAGCCAAAGGGGCCCCACGAGTTCTAGCAGCACCAGCACGCCTACTGCAAAATCCATTTGTTCCTTCTGTTGAATTGCTTGTTTGAGGCTGCTTTTAGCTTAGATAAAACAAAGAAGGACCCAGTAGCACCGCACACATGCTGCAGCAATCGGCCCCCCAAGGGGACAGGCCCATGGGGCCCCCAGGGGCCCTCGGGGGACACAGGGCGGCAGTAGCATTAGTACAACATTTATTAAAAACCTACTGCCAAGCGTAAAGATCTTCTGTGCTTTTTGTCGGGCTGCATGCGTCGTTTGGGGGTCTTGGCTTCTAGGGAGATCTGCTGCAAACCGTTGCCGTGCTCAGGCTAATGCAAGGAGAAGGAACAGTAGCTGCAACAGCAGCAGCGTCGACTATTTCAGCAAATGCAACAGCAAGGAAAGGCACTTAACGATGGCCGCTGTCAATGGCAGCGCCTTCTCGTGGATGGCGACGAGCCATATGGGTATTTATGAAGGGGTTGTACGGTGGGTGTTGTGTGTGTACTTCCTTGCTGCAGCTGCAGCAGCGGCTGCAGCCTCACGATGGCCTACCTTCGCTTACTTCGCGGCCCATGGCAAAGTGCGGCAACACCAGAAGCAAAGGCAGGGACAGGGCCAGCAGCAGCAGCAGCAACCCTTGCAGCAAACTCCGCTTCAGCGGTTTCTGCGGTGGCTGGAGGCGAAAGACTGCAGCAAATTACGCTTTATTGACTTCTACGTCGTGGGTGTCCTTGTTTCCTGCTGCTGCCTGCTGTCGCTGCAACAGCAACAACAGCAGGGGCATCACCAGCAGCATCAGCAGAGCAATCGACAACTGCTGCCCCTCACATTGTTGCTGTTGCATCTCCTGCGCCGATTGGGGGAACAGGCGCTGCTAGTTGCTTCAAGCAAAGCCTCCCGAATGCACGTGTTTGCGTATATTTTGGGTTGCACGTGAGAAATGCCGGTGATGGTGCTGCTGCTGCAACGGCTGCTGCACCACTGGCTGCTGCTCCTGCTGCTGTAGCTGTTGTTGCTGCTGCTCCTACTATGTTTGCAGCTGCTCCCTTCTCGGAAGTGTAAGCTAGACTGCGTCCTTCGCCATCTCCATCTCCGTTGCGTGGTCTGTTTCCAGAGAGTAGTTGCGGCTCTCCTCTTTGTTCTGCATGCGTGTAGGTTTTACATCGCAACTCCGATTGCATTTCTGAGCGCTTCCACGAGGGGGAAGGGACCCCACATACTGCAGGCTGGGGCCTCCGTAGGGCTGTGGGCAATTTCTACTTCGCTGCAGGTACGCTGGGGCCGGGTGTACAGCCGCTGCAGAGCTCAGGAGGCCCCAAAATGGTGAAGCTGCATGCGCTGCATTGGTGGGGTGCTGCAGCAGTTTTTTCGCTTTCTTTTCAGTTCGCTGCACACGTTTCCCTCGCCGCTTTAAGGCGACAGGGGGCTCGGAAAGAGGCCCACGCTGAGTGTGGGGGCCCGCTCATGACAGTAGGGGGAACAGCACATCCACAACTGGGGGCCAAGAAGACGCGCAGCAACAGAAGCAGCAGTAGTAGCAACAGCAGCGCAGAGGCGAGCAGCAGCGCGGACAGCAGCCCCGGCAACAACAGCAGCGCCATGGCGTGGAGGGGGAGAGGGCCCTACAGGGTGCCACGGGGGCCCCTCTTTGCGTACACCAGCTGCCCTCACTACCTGAGCGAGGTGTTTATCTATTTGTCACTTTTCATTGCTGCCCCCGACGTCCCCACGTGAGGCTTCCACGCTTGTGAAGCTGGGGCTGGCCTTAGCCTCTTGCATTCTTACAAGCTCATCGATATACCGCTGCTAAAGGTCATGCGCATTACCACCCTTAACATAACACATAAGCTTTCACCTTGTGTGCTTTTGTCTTTTTGTGGGATACATGCGGCCGCTGGTTTGTACGCGTGTTGGCTCTCAGAGCGAAAGGAGCAGCACCGGTGTTTGCGTGCATTTGCTGCAGCGGATGCTGCTTCCTGTATGTGCTCATTTGCATGGTTACCAACGGTACGGACGACAATCAAACACAAGCAAGCATGCATGTGTGAGAAGAGAACAGCAGGGAAGAAGCACGGTCAAACACCAGAGAGGTAAAGAAGGATTGCAGAAGACAGACGCTTGAACCTGCGTCATTTCTGGGGTGTCTGACTCTCCGTGCAGCTCAACTGTCCCACCGCTGGTATCTTCAAGTCTTCGGCTCCTCCTACCCCACGTACGGCTTTCCTGTTGCTCATTCTTTTGCTGCTGCTGTTGCCGCTGCGGAGCCTGGGGGTTCTGCTAAGCCCTCTTGCTGCATGCAGATTACACTTCCTTGCCTTCTGTATCGTCCGCTCACACCGCGCTCCCTTCTCACCCCCTTCTGCTGATGGCTCACCAGCCATCAGCAGGTGGTACGGAGCGTTTGAGCAGCCGCCCAGTGATGAGTATGTACACCCTATGCGTATGCTGCATGCAGAGAGCGGCGCATGCTGATTCCCTTCCTGTTTTAGCTGCTGAAGGTCCCTCTGTCGTCTCCTTTGCTGTTTACTTTCATTGCTGGCTCCTTACTTCCGCCTCGGCTTTCTTTTTCAAGATTATTCCAGACCTCGAACGTGCGATTGGCCGCGTGTAGTTGTTTTCCAAGCTTTAGGGTAGAGGATTCAGATGACAGGATTCAGAGGTTAGGTAAAGTGCTCACGACAGCTCTATGGGGCTCAAGAGCCACCACAGAGGAAGGGGCTAGAGTGCTTTGCCGGTTGCTTGTAACTGCCAGCAGCCAGGTCCATTTCTATGGAGAAACTGTTGCTTAGTAAGTTACGCACTACGCCCTCGCTACTTTTTTGTTAGTCATGTACTTATCATTATCTCATCACCAAGTGTACACGTGCGGAGGAAAGGGGTGAGTCACCCTCCCTACCCGAAGGCTCGTAGCAGCCCCAACTTCTCGGTAGCACACCAACGGTGGGGGATCTAGACGAACTGACAGTTACACACAACTGCATTACATGCAAGGGGGGGATGCATGAAGATGCGGGGGAAGGCATCTGATTCCAGAATGCGCCTGCTGGGTGGTCTCCAACTGTGCGTTGAGAGCTCAAATTCAATGTTGCAACTGCGTGTCAAGCCGCATTGAGGCAAAGTAACACTCAAATTGCTCAAGAGTTACACGGACCCACCTGTCACATGGTTTCTGTCCTGTTAATTATTACAGAGGGAATAATCAGTTACTTGTATAATACACAAGTAATTGGTTCTTCCCAATGTGCCAGCCTCCCCCTCGTAGCTGCTTTGTTTGCTTTGCTTTCCTCGGGGTTGTCTGCAAGCGGCGGCTAGGTCGTTAGTACTGACTTGAAAACGCAAAGGGCTCTAGCCTACACAGCTAACGCGCGCTTACCCCGTGAAACATACGCTAGAATTTAGAAAAAAAAATGTAGTTCCTGCAGTCCCCATTGAACATGCAAACGACAACGGTTGAGGGGCTCTCTCATTAAAGACCACAAAATATGCGACTTGACTCCAACTAACAGACAAGAAACGCAACTCCTACTCAGTGTTCTATATAGAAGAAACTGCCCTACAGAACACTTTCTAGCCCCGCAGCGCTTTCTGTTGCAGGTGAAGCTGACAGGTTGTGAGCTAAGACTGTCGGATGAACCTTTTGCAGTTAAAAAAATTACTTTTAGAAAATAGAAAAATCAAATGAAAATCTTAAATAAATTTCAATTTCCATGCAGCCGCTGCATGGCACATGTAAAACGTTGGCAGCTTTGTTTTGCATGCATGCTGTCCATAGGAAGCTGGCGCTGCAGCCAAACGCCACAGGGAGGCTGCTGCTGCAGCTGCGCTCTCCCCCCCGGTGCACATAGCGGGGATCCTTTGGCGAGATTTCGGGCTCTCTTTGTGACGATTCTTTTAGGGTGTTCAACATTTAAAGGGAGCCTTGCAGCGAAAATGGCAGTAAGCTTCGCCCTTGCCTGCTCCCACGGATCGCAGGGTGCTTGTGGGGTGTGGCAAAGCGCGCCATGGTGTCGCATCTATACAACTTTAGCTGCAGATCTTTTTATAATTTAAATCCACAGTTTTTTTACATTACGTTTCAGAGATGCGGTTTCTGGGCGGGTTGCGGCGAAATGGCAATGTCAAGTGACTTGCATGTGGGGGGAGAGGTCTTAGTTCTGCATAGCCATTATCGCTGTGTATTTCATGTGGGCGTAGTTCTTCTTTTGTGCTTGTTTATACATTCACTCGTGATTAATATGGCCGCATTTGTCGCCATGTCATCTTCACGCCTTATGGGCGGCAGACTGCCCTGTAGCGGCCGTGCTGCAACTTCTTGACTTCCTTCATAGTTCGTTGTCGCTCGAGTGAAGGCCCTTCATTTCGTTTCGTTTTGATTTCTAGAGATGTTTCGGGGACATTTTCTGTCTTTCCTTGCCCTCGTATTCTATGGCCTTCCCCAGCTGCGGTTGCTGTGCATACAGGATCGCTTCTCGGCCCGTCTCATGAAGCCCTTCGAGGGCGTTCCTCTCTCGGAGGGCGCGGAAAAGAAGCAAAAACGCGATGCTGCCCTCGTCGAGGCGCGGAAGAAGGCTCTGAAGGCCATGAGGGAGGTGTGTTTCAGGCATTTGTCCCCCATTATTCGACCCTCCTCTCAGTTCACCCTGAAGGCCGCTTGATTCTTCTTGTCCTCGTGGAGTTTTCATGTGAGTTCCGTCTTCTTTCTTTTTGCCGTTCAGAAACGAGCCGCTGCGCGCCACGATCTTAAGCTCCGCACCTACAAGTACGTGAAGGAGTACCGCCTGCAGCGCGAGGAACTCATCAAGAACAAACGCGAAGCCCGAGCCAAAGGTGAAATATATTCCTCAGTCACCGTAAATGATTTGTAGAATGCGTCACTAGGATGCGTTTCTTATTGCTTGCTCCATGTTGGCTCGAGGATGAAGCCTAATGCGCCGATACGACCATTTGGTCGTCTGCGGAGCTTTTCCAATTTTGTTTCAATCGCTTTCTGACCGGGTCCCTCAAATGAACATTTTCGTGCTTGAGGGTTTAGGGTTTAGGGGTAAGGCCCTAATGTGGGCCACCTGTACATGCTACAATGTGTGGTTTGTTTTTCGGCCGCTGATGAAAAACGAATTCAGATGAAGTCTTCGGGACTTTCTTGAAGAATTCATTCATCAAAAAGTTTCAATCGCTTGCTGAAAGCAATGCGGCGGGCCGCACTGTCGTGCCTTCACTATTGTGCGTTGCGTGTATGCATGCATATCTGTGCACGCAATTGTGGCTGCGCGGTTCTATTTCGTTTACCCGTATAATTTGCTTGGTTTATGAATGTATATGCGGGATTCAGGCGGCTTCTTCAGAGCCCCCGAGGCGAAGGTTGTGTTTTGCATTCGCATTAAGGGTATTAACAAGCTCGCCCCCAAACCCAAGATGATTCTGCAGCTCTTCCGTCTTCGCCAGCTGCACAACGGCGTCTTCATTCGCGTGAACAAGGCGACCATGGAAATGCTGCAAGCCGTGCAGCCCTTCGTGACCTACGGCTACCCCAGCCTTTCCACGGTTCGAAAGCTGATCTACAAGCGCGGCTACGGTGTGTAAAACACACGAACACGCGCATGTGCAAGGTGGCTGTGTTAGGGTTTTAGGGAAAATACGGTGGTGCTGCTGCAGAGCGTTACAAAGATTCCTCATGCAAGTTTGGCTATGTATGTTTTGTTGCGTTTTAGCCAAGGTTGGCGAGCCAGGATCCAAGCAAAGAGTGCGCCTGCAGGAAAACAGTATCATTGACAAGCACTTGGGCAAATACGGCATTCACGGTATTGAGGACCTTGTGCACGAGATCTACACTTGCGGCCCCGCCTTCAAGCAGGCCAACGCTTTCCTCTGGACATTCAAACTCAACTCTCCCAGAAAAGGTTTTAAGTGCAAGCGTCACGGTTTCTGCGAGCCTCGTGCCGGTCAGTTCATCATAGTGTTTATCCGCCTCCTCTCGTATGCAGAACAGTCTACTAAGTACGTTTTTTAATGCTACTTAATAGTAATGCTTCATGGTCGTATTTCGTGCTTTGGTCTTCAGGTGACTGGGGCAACCGCCAGGAACTGATCAACGAGCTCGTCAAACGAATGTGCTAAACACCCCTGGGTAGAAGAGCCTTGAGGCAGCGGCTGCCTTCATGCTTCAGCTATAATAGGTTCCTGTGAAGCTGCAGAGTTGTGTGGGTTGCTGCAACGACGCAGCAGCAGCAAACCCTTGTCAGTTTGCTAGTACCGAGGAGCGCGGCCTCGGGGCTTGGCGGCTTAAGGGGGAGCTGGGGTATCTTGTTGACATTTTGTTGATATGGAAACTGCGGACTCTGCACACTCTAAAGCCTTCAGACTCTTTGCACCTTCCACGCTCATTCCTTCTTTGAGTCAAACAGATAGTAGCAGTCCACGTTGGTGTAGCATCGCTCAGACGCGCAAAGCAGGTGCTGCCGAGAGGCGGCTGCAGCCTCAGCAGCCACGCAACGCCGGATACCTGCCTTCTCTATGTACACCCAGCAACTAATTAATCGTTATAGGCTAGATGTGCAATTACGCTCCGACTGAAGAGGCCACCATAGGTAGAGGGGTTCTTATAGCTCTTCGGATGCCACATTGACTAGTAACAAGGTTCATAGTTAAGTGAATTGTTGCGCAGAAGAAGAGAAAATATTAAAGAGAGGAAAGACATGAGTCTTCAATGAAGCCACCCTCCGGTGGCGATCTAAGCTGGAGGGGCACACCGGAACCATGGCATGCGCCAGCCTGCCAAGGAGACCCAAGGCCAGTTTCTGCATGTGCCAAAGGGCGTCAGCAGCAACTCTGGCCCAAGCGGCGCGCCCTATCTAATTGCTACAGCTTAAGCCGCCAGCCCCTACCTGCTGCAGTGCGCTGCAGCTCAAGCGGAGGGAACCTCGATTATGCCCGAGTCGATCTCCCCCTGGACTTCAGTGGGGGCCTTTCCGTCGACTGTGCAGCCGATTGAGGCGCTGTGGGGAACACAGAAAGAAGCACACACAACATTCTAGGTCTAGAAACGACGCCGAGGAGGGAGAAGGGGAGTAAAACGAAGAAAAGTAGCAGGGACATGCGGCTTACCATGTGCCCAGAATCTCCTTAACGGTGCCAGAGAACTCGTGCGCCATGGACTTGGTCCGCATGGTGCGGGAGATTTGGTAGACTTGCTGCAAAGTCAGGTTGCCGTTGTGCTTGATGTTCTTCACCTTTTTCCTGTCTCTGGGGGGCTCCTTGAGCTCCTTAATAATCAAAGAAGAAGCAGAGGGCATCACCTCCACAGTCGCCTGACGGTTCTGCACCTTCAAACAAACCGTCACCTTCAGCCCTTTCCACGCCATTGTCGCCTTTGCGATATCATCGCCCACCTTCTTTGGGGACATACCTGAATAATAATAATATATCACAACCCTACTCCAAAACCTAATCCCTCAACACTAAATCCTACTGGCACAACGAAGACCTACCTCCCGAGACACCGCACCATCTACAGCGCACAGGCAACGTCACAGCTACCACTTCTTGAGCAAAAAGAATGAAGGGACTCACCCAAAGGGCCGAGCTTCGGCGCCAGAACAGAAGAGGCGCCGACCTCACCGCCGGTCTGGCGGAGGTAAACTGCGCAAAACACACATTCGTGGCATACAGCAGAACTATGCAAGAAAGCCCAAATGCATTCAAATAACTCCAGAAAAAACGGGAAGGATGGAAAGCAGGATATCGCTGCTGCTGAGCTGAGATGTAAGGTACACAAGCTCCGCCTCGAGCATGCAACGCATGGAAGACGCAGAAGCCCGTGAGCCAGGGTCCATCCCGAGAAAACTCAGAGGTTCATAAACATTTTTGTTTGGTCTAATATGGTGCTGTAAGTTTGGAAGGAAACCAACAATAAACAACAACATCAAGCAATCAAAGCGTGCGAGGAGTGGGGCGGCTGACTGTATTTGATCTCGTTAGGGTCGAATTTCTTGGCCATTTTCACGAGGTGATCTTCCTGCCGATAAATGCCGCGGAAACAGCCACAAAAAAGACGCCCCACAGAAAGAAATGCAGGAAAAGAGAGGCGACGTCTCTTTGAGAGGCCCCCAAAACGACAGGCTGCCGTCGGGCTGGCGGCTGCTGGCAGCCCGTAAGAGGGTTTGGGGCTTTTTCTTGCCAGCAGCTCCATCGTACACGGACTGCATGCAAGCTGCGAACAAAGTTGTTCCACTCATATTTAAATTAAAACAAATTTGCTCCTAGTGGGGGGCTACTTTGTGGGCATTCGATTCTAGACATCTCCGTCGCGCCTGCGGTGCAGCGGAGGATGCCAGCAGCGCTGCTGCGTTAGCACTACTGGCTTCGGTATAACCCAAAACGGAGTCCCCCACGATTGTATGGGGGAGTCTTGTTTTTGCAGTGTTATTCTTAGTTGAATGTAACAATATATCTAGCCTGCTGTCGTAGCGTTAGCTGTAACGAAAACGATATCATCCGAGGTTTGTCAAAAGCTGCACGCGGGCAGAAACAGTTTAAGTAGGAGCCCTTAAGCAGCAGCTGGCCTCCTTTCCGGTCCCTAGGCCTCCTGGTCATACAGGGCGAATGGCGTGGATCTGGAGGAGAGGAGGCTGGCTGGCTTGAACCGCAGCTCACAACACAGCAACTACGACCGCAAGGCAAGCTCTCTGCAAGCACACTGTTGTTGCTTGCAAAAGACTGTAGGAAATTTTCTGACGCATAGTTGGCCCATATGGAGCCTGCAGGCCAGTATTGGTGCTTGCAGCAACTTCTTCTGCCCCCCGTCTCTCCCTCAAGCAGCACCCCGCCCGCCCCTTTCAGAAGGAAGGAAGCAAAAAGAAGGAAAAGAAAGAGTGAGGCACTTGAAAATGTCGTCTCATTAAGGGATTGCCGTTGCTGACGTGCGGCTCGTGTACGCCGTCCCGTCCAAACCGCTACTCGGGTACAGCTCTCTGCGCCCGTTAGGAAATGCTTTGGAAGCGTGCATCGCAGTAAAGTAAGAGCACGTACACTGAGCTCCTGCAGATGGACAAAATCAGTGAGCGCGTGGGCAGGGATCTGGCCCCCCCAAAGACTGGCTCATTGAGGCCCAGTCCCAAAATGTGAAAAAGCGAATGTGACGTCGACGGCGTAGCCAAGCTAGCTGTAGGTAAAGGGAAAGCCACAAGCCACGGCAGGGAAACAATGAGTACTGTACAGCACGACGATAAAAAGATAGGGGACCCTCTGCGCCAGTGACTGTGGAGCGCTCGCGGGGTGGGTGGGCGCAGTCCAGATTTTAGCCGCGCGGTGCATGTCCGTAGTTGCAGCCGCTTTCGTTGTGTTGATCAAAGCATTTATTTTCTCCTGCCCGAGGCGCTTCGTGCAAGCGATCCTAGGAAACCCACTGGGGTTGTCTGTTTCCTGGTTACTGAGCATATTGCCTTTGGTGGCTTGTGCTTCTAGTTATACATTATGCGTCGTTCCAGAATCTTAGTGTCCGCCCGTTGCCCCTTCTATGATGTTGTTGCCACATTGTGGGGCGGGGAAACCTAAGTGATTTCCTGAATCGTTTTGAAAACACACACTAGTAGTAAGCTATCATCTCCACGTTGGCGGTAAGTGGACGATCCCACTTGCCACCACTCGGACGAACGACCAGTTGCCCTACTCAACTTAATCCTAGCCCCTTGTGGGCTGCTCGCTTTCCTTCGCTCTTCGAAGAGTGTGCGTACAAGTACGTTGGGTTTAGGGAGGCTGCAAAAACGCCGCTTGTCGTGGTCCCCTGCCTCGCATTCTTTCTAATGTACTCCCGCGTTGCTGCAAGCTGTGCGTAGATTTCACGAGCTGCTAGCGTCTGAAAACGGCTTACAACAGGTTGGCCTAACTTCATGTCAGGCAGCAGTGCTCCGGTAAGACCAGTGAAACGCGAAGGCAACTTAGCGAAGAGTGCACTGCCTTTTTTAGAAGCCGATTCTGTACAAGGGAGCAAGTCAAGCCACCTTCGTGAATTCCGCTGAGTGAAAAGTCGCAAGTACTGCTCCAGCATGGGGCTGGTGAAATCACTGTGAGCCTGTGCCTCAGGGTGGGTCGCGGTGGCCCACCTTGTGGTCGATATTGACTCGCCTCATAGCTTTGCGCCAGCTAGCGCGAACGAATTTCTGGCCCTGCCACCAATGCACGCTGGAAAACTGTGAAGGTCCAAGAAATGATAAAAGAAATGGGGCCACTGCATCTGGTCTAACTGAACTTGAACGCGAGATGAAGTGGGGATACTTGCTGAGGGTACTCACGACGACACAGATGCTACCGTAGCTCTCATTGTTGTTTAGGCCACTACGAATTCCATTGAGATATCAATCCAGAACCTTACGGGGGTCTGGAGACTCTGCGGCCTTGAGATTTTTCCGCGGCGTTAGATGCAGGCATTCCGGGCAAGTGAGGACATTTGTCCCCTGAGGGCCGTACCCTAGGCCACGACAGGGACTTAACATACTCGACACACGGTTGCGGTGATCTTACCAGGGCACGCTGATGCATGTGCGTGGCTGCTGATTGAAGTGTATGTGCAAAGCGAACCTGGGAAGTATAATCGGTGGCGTCCACTCTCGTCGGATACCCTAAAAGATCGCCGTCTAGCGTGTAGAGCTTAACTCCTCTACCGTTGGTGAGATTAGCGAGAATCGCAGGCATCCTGCGTTCCCGGTTCCCAGGCGTCTGCCGGTTACCGCTTTTTGTCTTCTACTGAGCGGGACTAACACCACAGACCCGATGTGCAGACGCCTACATTTCGGTCAACTAGAAAACCGCTTCCCTCCTTCTCAGCCAGGAAAGTAAAAGTGATATTTTTGCTCCCTTTGGCGGGTAAGCATTCTACCGTCTCTGCGAGATCAACCCTTTCGCCCCAGCCGGAAACTGATTGCCTCTCTCTGGGGACAGCCCTGCTACGATTATTGATATAGAAACGTTCACCAAGGACTGAGACTTTTCGATGTAACGCTGTATCGGCAGTTTCATTTTTCCAAGTTATCTCAGTTCTGCTATGGATTGTTTTCCTGCCAACCTGGATAAACCCACGTCGCACCACATTAGGGAAAGCTTCCATAGTCAGAGTGGACTTCGGAAAATTGGTGCCCTTGCTTAGATATAACTACCATTGTCATCCCTATCCTCCTATTGACAAAGATGCCAATAGCAACTGTAACTTTTCTGATGCACTGTGGAGAAGAAATTGCAACTCCAGACAAGCAAGGAATTAATTCACCAGTCCAAACTGGCGGCGACTGCCATATCTGGACAGTCGACAAAGGCGAGGGTACTCTCCATGAATTGTTTCTGCTATAAAGGCATTTTTCTTTTCATTGTATGCCGATACTGAGCTGATTTCAAAGCGAGGAGTGACTAACCAGCCAGAGGGCCGATTCACGCTAATCTGACAATATCCCGTAGAAAAACTGGAGGGCATTATTTGTAATTTTCCTTTCCCACTAATTAGTGCTATACCCCAGCCCACACGCATGTCGGAGTTGGCCTCGCTGCTCACACGTGCCAGGACCAACCAAGCGGCGCAGTCAAGTTTAGCGGCGGATCGCCATGCTGCCGAGTATTGTCATTGTCGCGAGCTGCAATAGAACCAACGGCTCAATATGAGCGTTGTCAAAAATCAAATGACCGCCTTTTCAGTCTTCACGCTTCCTGGGAACAGCGGGAGCAGGGCCTGAGGATGGTGCGGAGAGAAGGCGACCTCTTTAAGGCTGCAACGCACCTTGTTGCAACTAGTGCTGCACGGTAAACTCACTTGCAATAGCAACCAAGCACGCTTTGCTGCTTGCACTAAAATTGTTGACAATTGTTAAATACTCAGTTGCTCCCCGAGTAGCACGTACAAACTAACAGGCGGTGCATGCAGCAGCTTCCTCGCAGCAACATTTCTGGGCACTAGCGCCATTCTGCCAAGGAAGCTTGGAGACTGGAGGATAGGCTAGAAGCTTTTGGTTAACTCTAAATCTAACTCCATTTTAACTACTGCAGCTCACGACGCCCGTCGATTTAAGCCAAGGAATCTCGGCACACTTGTGCTCATCGCGTTAAATGCCCACATTCGCCCCAACAACGCAGAGACTGCAACGCCAGAGCCAAGGTGGTTCTATCCTCCTTTGCAATTCTTGGGTTTTTGCGCGCGACCGCTGCTTAATCTGTAATGAGCATTGTCATTCGCACAGAGGGAGGTTGGGGGCTTGTCTGTGTGCTGCCGTTCTGCACGAGATGGGTATTCCTGGGCTAAGATGCAACTGAGTAAAGGCTAAAAATTTAATTTCAAACAATTTCAAATATCTATAATGCATGCTGTATATCTGCTTGCCACCGGTGCAGCGACGGTGGTCTTCAAACCCATTGGCTCTGTTGCGGCTGCGTTGCGCATGCTGGGAGTTTGCCGCTGAAACTAGCAATAGGAGTTCTCTATAACGCTTGAATAAAGCTGTTATAAGAGTTAATTAAACGTTTTCCCCAATAATTCATCAACAAAACCAAACTTCAAGGAGCATTTGAGGGGTGTTTTGCCCAGCGGCTCCTCCGATATGTACCGTTGTCGGTGACAGTGCTGCTATGATGAAAGGGTGAAATTGCCTTCGTTTTTAGCGTTGTATTCTTCTTTTCATCTTCATTTCAGGACAACTATAACCTGTAATACTACTCTTCATCCTTCTACCCTTGGCGAAATCAATGCAGTGGTCGAGGGCTGCCGTAAAAAGCCAATGGCTGGAGACTCATCCGTCATGCTTGCACGTTCTCTATAAAGGTGTTCTCTGTTCCTATATTCAGTGGTTTCTATAGGAAGAATTTATGCTTTTTGTAGCATCGAAATAGCTTCAAGATCGCTGCGGCGGTCGTCTGTCGTGTACTCGCAGCTTGAACAGCACCACACAGACACAGTAGTTGTTCAAGTGATTGCTGATTTTGAACGTATCTCCTGTTCTTCTGTAGCCCTTTCCTTTCAGTCTTGTATCCGTCTGTCTTTACGCTACAGTCTCAGCTCCTGGAGACTCCCCCCCTCTTCAGAGGGGGGAGTGTTTAGGGCGTGGCTGCGTTTCTGGGGGAGCCGCAGCTGTAGCTGCAGCTGCTGTTGCAGCTTCAGCTGCAAACAGCCCCCGTTCCCGAGGCTTGTGTGCACTATAAGGGGAACCAAACGCAATGCTGGAGTCTGTGGTAGAGCGGCTCCTTAGCCGCTACCTCGCGCCGTACGTATTAGGCATTAGCAAAGAGAAGCTGTCTGTTGCAGTATGGAGCGGCAACGTGGCCTTGTCGGAGCTGCACGTGAAGCCTGAGGTTTCAGATTTGCTGGGTATTCCATTTAAAGTTGTTTGGGGCCGAATAGGAAAGATAACGCTTAAGATCCCCTGGGCCAGTCTGGGATCGTCTCCCGTTAGTGTTGATATTCAGGATGTCTATTTGCTGCTGGAGCCAAAGCCCATACCGCAGCTCCCTGATGCGGAACTGCAGAAGCAGCTACGCAGCATCAAGATGCAGCAAGTGGAGGCTTGCGAGGTGCAGCTGCAGGAGGTGCGCCAGCAGCTCCAGCAGCAGCTGCAGCAGCAGCTGCAGCAGCAAACGGAGAAGGATACCGAGGGCGGCTTCTTCTTTCGCTTAGCCAATAAGATCCTTAGCACTTTGCAAATAAGCATCAAGGGCATTCATGTTGCAGTAATAGATAAACAAAGAGGCTTCCGTGCAGGGGTTCTTCTGGAGCGTCTCTCGCTGCAGAGCACCGACAAGACCTGGACAAAGCGTGATGAGCAGCAGCAGCAGCAGCAACAGCAGGACTTTTACAAGACCTGTGAGCTCACAGGGCTGGCTGCGTACTGTGCGCTGGACAGCTTCGAGGGTAGCAGCGGAGCAGCAGCAGCAGCTGCAGCAGAAGCAGCATCACAAGCAGCAGCACACGCAGCAAACACCCCGGAGTTCTTGCTGGAGGAGGAGCCCGAAGTCGATGCGGAGCTACAACTGGGGAACGCCCAAGACTTCTCCAAGGGGCCAGAGGTAGGGGCCTCTCCTAGGGCCTCTTCAAGAGACAGTGAAGACGCAGATTCCCTGCAAGAGAGGGAGCTGATCGTCAACACGGAGCTGCACGACGAAGAGCTTCAAGGGCCTTCAAGAGACGCCTCAGCACCCCAGGTAAAGCACCTTCTCCTTCGCAACAGCAAACTCCAGAGGGGCTTCTTCCAGTATTCCACCAAACATATAATTTCCTCTGATCCAGTGGGGGCCTCCACAGACACCTCTAGGGCTGGCTAGCTGTTGGCTAGCTGCTTGTTGCGTGCGTTCATTGTCTTCATGCATTTGCTGATATATCCCTACTGCACCAACACTGCACTGCGCTGCAGGAGCAGCAGGACGAAGGAGAAGAATTGGGTAGGGCGGCGGGCCCACGCCAACTCTCCTTGGAAAGCAGCGTTGCCTCTGCAGCCCCTTCGAGAGGAGCAGGCGAGGCATGGGGTCGGGAGGGCTCTGCTGCTGCCTTCCCCCCAACGACAGCAGCAGCATCAGCAGCACCAGGAGCAGCAGGAGGGAAAGGATATTCTAGGGTCCGTAGGGGGCGCAGCAGGTACATACTGAAGCCCCTTCACTTGCGCCTGAGCATAGCGCATACAGCAGCTCGTCAAGAGTTCTCCGCAAGGCTTGAAGTACTGCAGGGAAGCCACGGAGCAGCAATAGGGAAGGCCCAGCTGGCTGTGCTGCTACAGCTGGTGCATGAGGCTGGGGAACGGAGGAGGCGCTGCGAGCGGCTGCTGCTGCGGGAGGCCCACACCGTTGCCTTATCCCCTGAGGCCCTGGAGAGCAATGGGGAAACTCAAAAAGAATTCAATGCACTGTATGGACGGCAGCTGCAAACAGAAGAAGGCATCAAGGGTGTGCAGCCCCTCACCGAGGCGGAGGAGCGCCGCCTCCAGGTGCTGTACGACGTCGTAGGCGTCCGCCATGTAAATCAAACCCTAACCCCTAAACCCTAGACCATTGATCCTTAGAGGGCGGAGTAGCCCGTAGTAGGCAGTCTTCTGCCTGCGGTGCTTCGCTGCAGGGCTTCAGTTAAGATCTTAGAAGGGCTTATCAACCTAAATAACGCATATATAACAAACATGACAGCCAGAAGATACATATAGAATTAAAAGAAGAGACTGTTAGGGAAACGGGGGAGGCAGGCAGACCCAGCAACGGCCAACATGGGTTCGAGGGTCTAGGGTTTAGGGTTTAGGGTTTGTGGTGGACTGTGCGTACAGCTGGCCAAGTGGAGAAGCATCTGCAGGGAAGCAACAAACCGAGTGTTGGCGGAGACACAAAAGGTGCAGCTGCAGAGACAGCCCAAACCTCCCCCGAAAACCTGGTGGCAGTGGGCTACGCGGAGCGGCCAGCAGCAGCAGCAGCAGCAGCAGGAAGGGGGAGAGGAGCAGCCGCTAATTACACAGGAAGATATACAGCTTATCATGGACTCTGTACAGGCGAGGCTCATTGGCTTGGAGGCCAGCACACGGGACAGACGCACGCAAGGAGACAGAAAGACATTAAACAGAGACAGCCACGAGACAGACAGCAAAAGGAGGCAGAAGAAATAGACAGAAAAGAGATACTCACCCATATATATATATATATATATGTATATATATATGGTGGCTACACCGAGGGTCATTCCCCCCTGAGAGGAGTGGAGGCTGGGCTATTCTTATCCAAAATTATGGCTTCAAGAATTAGGGTTTAGTGGGCCTACCGTTTAGAATAGTTTAGGGTGTAGGGTCTGGAGTTTGGGATTGTTTAGGCTATAGGGAGGTCTAGGGTTTAGGGTTTAGGGTTTAGGGGGTTTTCGGGTGGAGGGTGTAGAGTGATTGAGGGTCTAGGTTTGGGGATTTGGGTGGTTTAGGGCTTATAATGGCTTAGGGTTGTTTAGGGTTTAGCGCTCATTTGTGCTTAGTTGTTTGAGGGTGTATTATGTTCGTAGAAAGACGAGACACTCCAAGGAATGGGGCTGCCGTCCAGCTACCACTTGAGTTTTGACTTGCTGCAGTTTCGGCTGTCTCTTGAAGACGATGCTGCGGAGGGGGCGGGGGCCCCCGAGGAGGAGACAGAAGAAAGGCCTCTAAATGGGCCCCCCGATCTCCCTCTGGATTTTCCTTTGCCGCCGCGGGAGGGGTTTCTGCTGTCTCCTCCGGACTTTTCTGATGCAGGGGGTGCAGCAGAAGCTGCAGAAGCAGCAGAAGCAGCAGCAGCAGAGAAACAAGCAGGAGAGGAGGAACTATCCTTCTTGTCGCTCTCTCTTACAGGCATGCGGGCATCCCTAGACTGCTGCAACCGCCAAGATTACTCAGGTGAAGACAACGCTGAGTGGGCCTTTTCTTTTTCTCTCTCAGACTTCACTGTGCGGCAGAAGCAGCACACACTCATGCACTTCCGCAGCGAAGCAGACAGCAGCAGCAGCAGCAGCAGCAGCGGGGACTTTGGTAGGACCCACGTGGGGTTGTTTGGGGATACAGGGAAGCTCATTCATCTGCCCTCTGCTATTTTTCGTGCTGCGCCGACTTCGCTAGCAGCAGCTCAGTTCCTGCTGCAGCACCAACTGACCCCACATGGCAACATCCTTGGGGTGTCTGTACACCTGGCGCCCCTCGTGGCCTCCGTGCGGCCCGATATTTTAAAGACAATTTTTGCCTTTTTTGTCTTTGAGACCCCAGAAGACATCAGGAGACTACAGAGCGGGAGCTCTGCTATCTCCTCTCTGGAGACGCAGGGAGCTGCTGCAGCAGGAGGCCCGGGAGCAGGCGCACCAGCAGCAGCAGCAGAAGAGGAAGAGCCGCCGCAGCTGCAGCGGGACCTCGGGGCGATGCATGCGCGGGAGTTGGTTGAGGGTTTACGAGAGAAGGGAGAAACAGTATACGCTGTTGCAGTGCACCGGCTACCGGGTTTGCTGCAGCTAGAGCTCGATATAGCAGCACCTGTCTTCCATATGGATTCTCTTACCTCTGGCAGTGTGTCCGTACACCTGGGGCGACTGACTCTGAAGACACAAGGGCCTTGTCCCTACGAAGCTTTGCAGGCAGTACTGGAGTTGAACGAAACCCGTCTCCTTTGTTCTCCTAAGGGGGGGCGCGAGGTGTCTCTGCTGCGGCCCATCCCCATTCGCATGCAGCTACAAGTGCAGCAAGCAAAACGCATTACTGTAGATTTAGAGTGTGAAGATATTTTTCTTGAGGCGACGCCTGAGGCAGTGGCCCTTCTTCTTGCAGTCCCTGTCTCCCTCGCCAAGTCCATAGAGCAGCCAGCGCTGCCGCCCGCTGCTGCTGCTGCTGTTGTTGCTGCTGCTGCGAAAGCGGGTGCTGCAACTCCAGCAGCAGCAGAGGCTGCAGCAGATGCTGCTGCCGCAGCAGATCCGCATGCGCAAACGGCCCCACACGAGAAAACGCGTAAAGGCAGTGCAGCGGGATCGGCTTTGGAGACCCTCAAAGGGATCCCAGCGGCGCTGCGGACCATCCAGGCGCCTGGAGACAGCAGCAGCAGCAGCAGCAACAACGGAGGCGAGGGTTTCGTGGTAGAGTCGACTTGGCGCTTCAGCCGCTGCGGCTTTATAGTTCACCGCAGCAGCAGCACGGGAGAGAAGGGGGTGCTGCAAGCGCAGCTGTCTGCTCTTGATGTTGCAGTGGGGGCTGACACTGGGGCCGGCACTTGCAGTGTATCTGCAGCTCTTCGCGGTGTCTTCATCTCGGATCCTTCTACAAAGTCTCTCCTCTTCCAGTCCCTGAACAAGCAGGTACACCTTCTCCCTTAGCTGCGGTTTGCTTCGCAAACCTAAACCCTAAACTCTTAACCCTAAACCCTAAACCCTAACCGCATACTGCAAAGCTTAATGCTGGAATTGCATCCCTCGGGAGGTGTATGGACAGTGTCCGCCCAGAAAAGTTGTATGTACACTGCGTGGATCTTAAGGGTCAGCGTATCTGGCTTATGTTTTTCTGCTGCTGCTGCTGTTCGTTAGTTGTAGGAGGTCTTGAGTAGCTTACCTGTTGCTGTCAGTGCTGTTTTGTGTTTGCTGTGCGCAGCCCTCTTGCACCTCTCCAGTGTCTCCTCAGCCTTCTGGTACTTTTGACCGGTTTAGAAGCGCCTTGTCGCATGCAGAGACGCAGACACTGCAGCTGGATTCCTTTCAAGATGCAGTTGATGACACGGGAGACGGCTATGGGGACGATCCCCAAGACGATCCCGGAGGAGACACCACCCGTTACCGCAGCCTGCGGCTGTCTCTGAACTACACGAGGGATTCAAACCCACAAACTACCGTTTCCCTCGTTATTCTTCCAGCAGAGGTGCACTGGAGACAGGAGTCTCTTCGCCGTATCTTGGAGACAGCTCAGGTGTACAGACAACAGCTCGATCAGCAGCTGACAACAGCAGCAGCAACCTTCGCCCGTCCACCTTTCCTCTCAGAATCTGCATTTGCTGCTCTCCAAGATGCGTTGCAAGCAATGCAAAACTCCCTCAACAGAGGGGATACCACAGCAGAAGCCAACTTCGCTTCCCTCCTGACTTCCCTGAGCCTGAGCAGCAGCGGCAGCAGCAGCAGCAACAGCAGCAGCAGCGAAAGCAGCAGCGCGAATGATGAAGCCAGCAGCGGAATCTTGTGGATGCGTAAGGGCCTAGAGGTGGGAGGGGCCATGCCTCCTCTAGCTGCCGTGGTAGACGCCAGCGCGACGCAGGAGGAGCAGCAGCTGCGTCCGGCGTCCAGCAGCAGCAGCAGCCGCAGCAGCAGTAGTAGCAGCAGCAGCAGCGAAAGAAAAGGCCCGTTGCCCGTGTCATTGTCTCTGGATTTGGCTGTTCAGGGGGCCGCAGTCTCCTTCTGGGAGGGCCACTCTGTTTACTGCAGGATGGGGGTTAGAGACGTATTTCTTTCTCTCTCCTCCTACCCCAATGGAGACTCGGAGACACTTCTTTCCGTCCGCCACGCAGCCGTTATCCTCAACGACCGCTGCGTCTTGGCCCCCAGAGAAAAGCTGCAGCAGCAGCAGCAGCAGCAGCAAGAGCAGCAGCAGAAGCAAGAGCAGCAGCAGAAGCAAGAGCAACAGCAGCAGCAAGAGCAGCAGCAGCAGCAGGAGGAGGAAGACTCGATGCTTGTTTCTCTTAAGATAAGGCAATACGGGGGCGGGGAGCCTGGGTCAGGTCACCCTCTTCCTTTTTCTATGTGCGTATCTGGGAGAGTCAGCCAATTGTGTCTGGTGTATATACACCATGATATTCAGGCATTCGTAGATTACCTACGCGACGGCATATTTGATTTGTTTATCTCTAAGTCCTACGCTGCAGTAAAACAAGCAGCCACAGGCTCTCGCTCCCTCTTTGCTCTCCACATTGACTGCCCCCTCTTCATTGTTCCAGAGAACAAAGCAGCCATTCCGGCTCTGCAGCAGCAGAGACGATTGCAGCAGAAACAGCAGCAGCAGCAGCAGCAGCAGCAACTGTCTCCTCGTCCCGAAAGCGAAGCAGAGTCGGTCGCCTTAGCTGCTGCTGCAGCCAAAGTGGAGCTCAAAGGCTTGGGCCGTTATCTCGTGTTCAGTGCAGGCATCTTAAAGGTGAGCAACGCGTACAGTCCCCAATCTACTGTCTCCTTACAGCAGCAGAGTACTCCGAAGCAGCTGCTTCACAAAGGGACACCAGAGGGGGCCCCCTTGGGGGCCCCCCTACCCCGAAGGACTACGGGGCCCTGTGCATCACCTGCTGCCCAGCAGGCGGCTGCGAGCAGCTGCAGCACTGGCTCAGAAGTAGAGCACACGTCAGCAGCAGCAGAAGCAGCAGCAGCAGGAGGTGCAGGGAAAGAGGAGGATTGGGCGTTTGACTTGAAGCTGGACTTCTCGGGCATGCAGCTGAGTGCACGAGACAACGAAGAGGGCCCCCTGGGGGGCCCCCCTAGCGGCGAAGAGAGGACCTCAGTTGAGGGAAAGGTGTTGGAGACAGCTGCTGTGGGGGTTCGGCTGCAGTCTGCAGGTCGCGTCTCTATTGCTGCCAGCACTTCTCCTTGGCTGCTGTATCTCTCAAGGGAGCAGCTAACCCTCTTCCTTGATGTGCTTAATGAGAACCTTACAGGCGCACAGTATGCAGACCCACAAACTGCTGCTGCTGCTGCTGCTGTGCGGGAGGGAGAATGCAGCGCCAGCAGCAGCAGCAAATGGAGCCCAGGACTAGGACTAGGGGGCGCAACGGAGACAGGAGACAGCGAGATGCAGATGCCTCCGAAACAAGCTGAGCAGCAGGAACCGCTGCATGTAGACTTCCATCTGTGTGTCCCTAAGCTGCTGCTCGAGACCTCTTTGGGGCCCCACACTCCCCTTGCTTTGCTGACTGTACACCGCATTGCTGTCTTTGCTGCAGCCTCCTCATCTCCTCAACAGGGTACCCAACTCCAGCTGAGCGTCACAGGAGATGTCTTCGCAGTAGACGACCTCAGGCCCCACACCTCTAACTATTACCGCAGACTCGCCCACTGCACTGGGGGGGCCCTAGAGGAATCCGTAGAGGGGCCCCTAGGGGCCCCCCAAGCCGAGGTCTCAGGCGTAGGAGCCCAAGGCGCTACTGGAGGTGATGTGGGTGAAGCCGAGTGCTGCAGCAAGGGAGAAGCGGAGGAAGACGTTGAGTGTCTTCCTGCGGTGTCTATGCACCTTGTAACGGGGATAGAAGGGGGGGCTGTAGACGTGGTGCTTAGAGATGTAACTCTTTATACCCTTGTTGTTGGCTTCAGCGACTTAGGCAAATACTTCTCCACAGCCTATGCATGCAGCACCATGAAGCGTTACCCGAAGCCCCAACCCATCATCAACGAGCAGCAGCAGCAGCAGCAGCAAGATCAGCAGCGGCAGCAGCAGCAGCAGCAAGCCAACCCCCGTCGCGACGCACCGTTAGGATCCCGCACGGTTTCGAAGTCCTTTGCAACGCTCCAGGCGCATGAACAGAGCAGCAGCAGCAGCGGCAACAGCAGCAGCAGCAGCAGCAGCAGCAGCACGGGGAGGACGACGATAAGCCTCCGGATCTGCAACGGACAGTTTGTGGTGTACACGGACCTCGAAAGCCCCACTGCGCCTTTGATTGTTTGGAGCGGAGACCTTTTTGTCTCTCTTCTTTCTGAAGGAGTGGCGGTGAGTCTGCAGCAGCTGGAGATACACCACAGCAAAGTGACACGTCTCGAGGCAGCCCCGAGTGAAGGGGAGCTTGCTGCCAGCAGCAGCAGCAGCAAAACCCGATGCATGTCTTCTAGCTACCTGAGGGCCTTCTTAGCAAGGCCGGGGCAGCAGCAGCAGCAGCAGGACTGCGGCGTCCAGCTGAGCCCCAAAGAAACGCAGCAGCTCCCCCTTACAGGCAGCAGCCGCCACCAACGGCTGCAACTCCAGCAGCAGCAGCAGCAGCAGCAGGGGGAGGACAGGTACGGGGAAGAGACCCTCTTGGTAGGAGAGTGGCCCGACCCCAGCCGCCTGATCCCTTCCTTGTTGACTGAGGGGGCTGTGCTGCTGTGCGAGGACTTGTCTCTTCGCGGCAGGGGCATTTTCCTTGCTGCAGCAACAGAGCAGGAGCTGCAGCAGCAGCAGCAACTGCAGCAAGGAGACACAGACGAGGAAGAAGCACAAAGTGAAGCTGAAGAGACAGACGCAGAGACACCAACACCTGCAGCACCCACCACGGGGAGGTCGAGGGTGGCGGATGTGCAGCGGGCCTTCGCGGGAGCTGCTGCTGCAGCAACTGCTGCTGCTGCTGCTGCTGTTTCCGAGGCCCCCCGTGCACTCACTATTACACAGCCGAAGCCGCTCAGCAGCGCAGCAGACCCCGCAAAGGAAAGCAGAAAACAGCAGCAGCAGAGCAGATTAACAACGAAGGTTAGGGTGCAGCTGAGTGTCCCCAGTAAGTAGAGTGCCAGTGTCTCCTCAGATGTCTCCTTTTGTCTCCCCATCCTTCCCTTTGCTGCTGCTTTGCCTCTTTCTAAGCCATCTCTGTTTCTTGTGCATCTGCGTTTCTTCGTTTCCTGTTCCTGGCTGCTGCTGCAGCAGCTGCTGCTGCTGCTACTGCTGATGCTGCGTTTGTTCATGACTGTACACTGCTTCTTCTTTCTCTTTCTTTCTCTCTCTCTCTCTCTCTCTGTCTCTCTCTCTCTGTGTCTCTCTCCCGCTGCCTGCTTCTATCTGCTGCTGCTGCGGCTCCTCCGCGCCTCCACGGCAGACCCCCCTGCTGCATCATCCGCTTCCGTTGCGGGGCCAGCAGCGACACAGGAGCTGCCTATACACCGCGTCTGTCTGCTGCTGCAATATACGCCAGCACGTTTTATTCTGACGGGCTTTCGTAGCAGCCGCAGCGACTGCTGCTGCTGCTGCTGCTGCAGGCTGCTCTCGCGGCTGCAGTAGCCACGGGAGCTGCTGCAAAGGCAGCAAGCAAGCGGCTGCAGCAGTTGCTGTTACACCTGAGGGATTATCTTTTGCTGTCTGTCTGTGCCTGTAGAGTTCTTCCTTCGGGTGAGCAGCAACGATATCGTTTTGCTGCTGCATGCATTGCAAGGCCTGAGCTCCGACGGCCCCTCAGTTAGCTGCCTCCAGGACCAACTGGGCCCCTCTACAGCAGCAGCAGCTGCTGCTGCTCCTGCTGCAGCCACGGATAGGGCTACTACTCCCACATCCAGGCAGCAGGATCCTGCGAGCCCTGTACACGAGCAGCAGCAGCAGCAGCAGCAGCAAGAGAGTGAAGTGGCTGTTGAGCAGGACGTTAGGGTGTCTGTACAGCTTGCAGGTGTAGATCTGCTTCTGCTAGACGACCTGCGCGCCTCAGTGGTGCCTTTGCTGCAGCTGCAGCTGTCTGTGGGGCAGCTGAGGGGCCGGGTGTCTAGACAGCACCTCGTGCTGTCTCTAACAGATATGAGTTGCAGCAGCAGCTTTCTAAATGTTAAGAGCGGCACTTGGGAGCCGTTTATAGAGCAGATGATGTTTACTCTGGTGTACAGACGCGACCTACTCCTCGAGCACAAGCTGCAGCAGCAGCAGCAGCAGCGCATGACAGGCAGCAGCAGCGGCGGTAGCAGCAGCAGCAGGGGCGGGGGCAGTGGCAGCGCAGCAGCAGCAGCAGCAGCAGCAGCTGCTGCTGCTGCTGCTCCTGAGCAGTGGACAAACTCTAAGGCCGCGCGGGCGCTGCTGATCAGCAGCTATTCGCCTTTCTTGTTTAATGTAACCCCGCAGCTATGCCGTCTGCTCTCTTGGTTTGTTCCTTACTTAGTGCAGCATCTGCAGCAGGGCCTTATAAAGGAGACTGTCTCCTCAGCGAGGCCCTCCCGCGCCCCTAGTATGGGGCCTCCAGGGGCTGCAGCCCTACAGGAGCAAGATGACGCAAGAAAGAACACACAGGCTCCATCTGCTGCTGCTGCTGCTGCTGCTTCTGCTGCACTCTCACCGCTGTCCAGATCCGCTGTTGCTGCTGCAGCACGCGGCTACGCTGCAGATGCTGCTGCGGCGGTTGCTGCAGCACAGCAGCAACAGGCTAGCGGGGCCCCCTTCCGGTACCTCAACCTAACGGGAGAGTTTCTGTATGCATTCACCCTCGTCTCCGAGCAGCCGCAACCGCAGCAGCAGCAGCAGCAGCAGCACAAGCAGCAGCAGCAGTCGGAGCAACAGCAGCAGCAGCAGTCGGATCACCAGCAGCAGCAGGGAGAAGAAGAGGAGACTGAAGACGAAACCACGGGGGGGGTTATGGTGTTGCAGGTTGGGGGCTCTGCGTCTCAACCCCTGGAGGCTCTAATGGAGGGACAGACAGCGCAATCTGCACGAACAGCAGAAAGGAGACAGAGAGTTTTCTTTGCTTCTTGTGTCTCTCTTGCTGCACTGCAGCAAGCAGCAGAAGTGCTGCCCCACGTGCCGCGCACTGAACTCCTCCGAAGTCTCCTCCTTACCCGCGATCCTCAGCGCACCATCGGCGAGTTTCTTGATGCAGAGCATGCACAGCCTGCTGCTGCTGCAACAAAGCAGCAGCAGCAGCAGCTGCTGCTGCAGAGACGTTGTGTAGGGCCCTTTCCACAGGGAATGCAAGCGGTGCTGGTCGAAGCGATGAAGAGTCACAGTGTCTCCTTGCTGCTGCCTCAGTGCACTCAGGAGCAGCACGGAGCGCCGCCGCCGCCGCCGCCGCCGCCACCGCAGCAGCAGCAGCAACAGCAGCAGCAGCAGCAGCGGACAGCTAGGGCGGTGAGTTCGCTGGAGGAGACGAGGAACAAAAGCAGGGCAGCTGCAGCGCAGGCAGCGGGAGGTGGAGTTACAGTGCAGGCTGAGCCCAACCCATCGGCGACTCGCACCTTGGCCTCTCCTGTGAAGCAGCAGCAGCAGCAGCAGCAGCAGCGGTCTTCAGGTGCGCAATGCTCCCTATGAGCGGCCTTAGAGAATGAGACAGCGACAGTTAGAGCGGGCGTAATGGGGGCTCAGTGCAGGCATCAGCTAGCTGCTGCTGCTCTGCTGCTGCTCCCGCTGTATGTGTTGCTGTTTAGGGTGCTGCCTCAGTCGTAGCTGCCGCTGTCTGTGCTGCTGCTGGGGAACACTTAGGAATCCGCATTGGGGTGGAGGAGCGCAGCAGCAGCAGCATCAGTGCTGCTGCTGCATGCGTGTGTCTCGCGTGCATGCGTTTACCGGTGTTTCTGTCTCTGTCTGTCTGTGTCTGCTCCACTTTGCTGCAGCAGCCAGTAGAAGGGATATGCATGCACTAGCAGCAAGCAGAGGGGCCCCCAAGAGAGGAGAAGGCGAGCTTGTAGCTCAGGTGCTCAGCCCCCACCCTTCGTACAAGCTGCTGTTGCTGACATCCACTGTGCTGCTGCAGAACCGCAGCGGTTTGCCTCTAGAGGTTTGCTTCTTAGACCCGAAGCAGCATCCGTTGCTGCTCCCAGCAGCAGCAGCAACAGCAGCACCCCTCCAAGTGCTGCAGCAGCAACCCGATGTCCAGCAGCAAGGGGAAGCCCAATCCTTTCAAGAAGCCACCCTACTCGATCCCCAACTCCAGACGATCCCGCAGTGGATGTTAGACAGAGAGGAACGTCAGCAGCAGCAGCGCATGCAAGAGCTTGCGCTGCAGCAGGAGTTGCTGCGGCAGCTGCAGCGTACAGCCAGCAACAAAGGAAGCAAAAGCAGCAGCAACACAGCCCCCGAATCACCTCAGGCCCGCAGAGTCAGCCAGCAAGGCAAGGCCTCCGTAGCGTTGCAGCAGCTGCAAGAGCAGCAGCAGCAGCAGCAAAGCAAGTTCGCATACACATTCCTGCTTCCCGATCAGCACTTCATGTCTGTCCCTCAACATGCAATCTTAGGCTCAGGATGGGTCTTTGTTTGCTTCCGCCCTGCAGCATTTGCTGCTGGCGAGAGGGGGAGTCAAGCAGGAGAGGTACGGCTCTGCTGTTGCTGCTGCTGCTGTTGTTGCTACGCCCGTTGCTGCTGGTTCTGTTGCTGGTGCTTCTGGTTATGCTGCTGCTGCATGCATGGGGATGCTCCGCTGCTAAGGCCTGCCCTCGTGGGTGCCTTCATGCGCCTGCTGCTCGGTGCTGTTGGTGCTGCTGCTGCTGCTGCTTGCTGCTGCTGCTGTTGCGTGCTGCATGCGCCTGTGCTTATTATCAGCGTCTGCTTCATTTGCTCTGTTTGTCTGGATGGTGAGGACTTGAGCGTTTTATCTGTACTTCTGTTCCTCTGTGGAGGGCGCTGCCTTTTGCTGCTGCTGCTGTTACCACTGCTGCTGTTGCATCTGCTGCTGCTGCTGCTGCCGCTTCGTGTTTCCTGCGGCCTTCAGGAAACAGAGTCTCCTCCTGATATGGGGCCTTACAGTGGGTGGTCGAGTTGCATAGACACCCGAAGCAAAGCAACAGACTGCCAGTGCATGCACTGCGCCTACTTGCCGCCTGAAGAGCGCAGCGCTGCTGCGCTTTCTGGATCAGCAGCGACAGCAGCAGCAACAGCAGCAGGAGCAGGAGGAGGAGCAGCAGATCAAGACTGCGAGGCAGCAGCTGCTGCTGCTGCTGTCTTAAATAGAGAGAAATGCCTCTTCTTTCACCTGTTGCAAGAAGAACAGAAGACAGCGCTGCCGGCAGAGCGGCTGCTGAGGACCCTCACTGTGTTTCCAGCTCTGACTCTTATGAATGCAACTCTAACAGAGTTAGATGTCTGCTTGCTTCCTCCTGCTGCTGCTGCTGCTGCTGGTGCTGGTGCTTCGGGATCGGGGGTGCCATTGAAGAGGCCCCCCGCTGCGTCTGCACTGCAGCGGCTGCAGCAACTGCAGCAGCAGCCTGCGTTTAGAGGCACACTGACGAGGCAATCTGTCTTTTATGTTTATGAAGTCCCAGCAAGCAGACAGCTGTCCCTTTGGCTGCGATTTGCTGTTCTAGAAAATGCAAGATGGTCGCCCCCCCTACGCAACTTCCTCTCTTCAGAGGTCAGCCTGCTGCTGCTGCTGCTCTTTCTGCTGCTGCTGCTATTCCCGCTGCTGCGGCTGCTGTTTCTGCTGTTATTACTCTTCTTGCTGCTGCTGTCCCTGCTGCTCCTATTGCTGTCCCTGCTGCTGCTGCTGCTGTTCCTGCTGTTGTTGCTGCTGCTGCTGCTGTTTCTGTTTCCACTGCTTCGCATATGCGGCTCTGCTGCAAATGCTGCTGCTTGTCGGGTGTCTCCTGCTATTAAGGGTCTCTACTCTACGCTTACTGTGTCTTGCACTTGAGCTGCTGTTGGTGGGGGAGCAAGTGTCTCTTTATAGAAAGGAGATGTCTCTTTATATAATGTAGCTCGCCTCTCCATCTCTAAAGCATTGATGTCTTGCAGCTGTCTCCTTATATACAGCAGCTGTCTCTTCGTCTGTAGCAGCCGCTGTCTCTTTATCTCAAGCCACTGTCTTACAGGTGCAGCTTCGTCTTTATCTGTAGCAGGTGTCTCTTAATTTGCATACCTGCATGAGGTGTCTCCTTTTGTATGTTGTTTGTTTGCATGCGTATAGGACGGCCTAGTGTCTCGTTTGCTGCTGCCTTCTTCTTCTCTGGCTTCAGTAGAGCTAGAGGTGCTGCATGATGCAGCAGAAGTGTCTCCTTATGTCCCCCTTGTCTCCCCTAAGCAGCTCCTTGCTGTTATCACCTCCCCCCGTCTCTTTGTTGATAGAACAGGCCTTCATATTAAACCCGTGCACTCAGCCCGCTACTTCCCCGACTTTGGTGGATACTCCCTCTTAGGAGACTCAGCCGTAAATCCTTATATTCCCACTTATATATATATGTATATATATATATATATATATGTATATTTACATATATCTATATATGTGTATGCATATATTATATAAACATGTATACCTATATATATATATATATGAATATGTATATGCATATGTTGTCCGTATATATATATATATATGCATATATGTATAAATATACGCACTTTTATGTACGTATATACACGTATATGAATAGTTGTATGAATATATATATATGTTTACAACAGACGTGCACACACACACATATATATTTATATATATGCATATATAAATATGCATATATATATATATATACATATGCATAGTTGTGTATATGAATATATGCGTACACCATACGGAACCAGACAAAAACACTCAAGCAGTTACACATCATTACAGCTGTCTTTTTCATAAACAAAAGAAGGCCCTTAACTTTTATTATGTGGGGTTTTGTGGGGTGTTGTGGGGTTTTGTGGGGTGTTGTGGGGTGTTGTGGGGTGTACAGACACCGGAAGTGTCTCTCTTTATGACTCCCCAGGGCTGCGCCCCCGTAGAGTGCAGCGTAAATGTCCCCGCGCTTCATGGGTATACAAAAGCTGAGCTGAGGGCCCCCAACCGTCTATACACCCTATGCCTTAAGACAGATCAGTTAGCTGTTGCTCAAACAGCAGGTAAGGAGAGTGTGGGGTCTCCTTTTGTCTTAAAAAGGAGACATAATAATATATAATCTTCGTGCATGCAAAAGCACAACAAAACAGAAAATACGCAAATTCAGAGCCTCTTCTTATACCTCAATTCTATTAACAAAACACATTAATAATATATTTTAATACAGTATTTAATGCAAGATATCACATTATAATAATAATAATAACTAATATAATAATTATTATTATTAGTAGCAGCAAAAACCCAAACAAATCCAACAATGCAGACACATGCACAACACGTTCCAGTTACGGCAGACTCTGCTGCTGCTGCTGCTGCTGCATCACAAGCAACAGCAGCTGCTTCTGCTGCTGCTGCTGCTGCATCACCAGAACCGGCTGTGGCTCCTGTCTCCTCTTTCCTGTCTCCGCTACTGGCTGCCCCTCCCAGCTGATACAATACAAGACAACTGCTGCTGCTGCTGCTGCTGCTGCTGCTGCTGCATCTTTTCTTCCTTTCTGTTTTTGTGCTGTCTCTCCCTATACATTTGCATGAGCTTACGCTCTGTTCTTTCTGCTACTGCTACGTGATAAACGAAGGTTTGGGGTGGGGTGCAGCAGCACATGCATAGTGGTGGATGCGTGTACGGTTTGGAGATCGCAGGGAGAGCTGCTGCTGTTGCTGCTGCTGCTGCTTCTGCTGTCCCTGTTCTTGTATGGTGCTGCAGCTTGTGGGAGCCTTTGTGTTAGATTGTCTCTGCTGCTGCATGCCCCGCTATTTAAGCTGCAGCATTCGCTTCGGGTGTCTCTGCAGGTGCGCTATGCCGCGTGGTGTCTCTGGTGCCGGAGTTTCTCTTCACAAACTGTCTCCTTGTCCCCATCTTTTTAAAACAAGTGCGCACGCAGGGGCCTCTCTTCGAAGGTTAGTAACAGCTGGCTGCTGCTGTGTCTGTCTCCTTTTCCTAGAGAGGAGACAGCAGCAAACACAGACAAAACGAATGATGCTGCACCCTGCTGCTGCTGCTGCTGATGATGATGATGATGCCGATGGTGCTGCCTCTACCGCGCTGCACCTCTATGCTGCAGCATATCTTGCAGCTTGTCGTTGCTGCTGCTGCTGCTGCTGCTATTAGCTTTAGATTAGCTTCGATCAACAAGCCTTCTTGCTGTTCGCGTGCTTCTGTTGTCTCTAGCAGCTGCTGCTGCTCCAGCTGCTGCTTGCGCTGCTGCGCTGCAGTGCAACCTGGGGAGACGCACGCGGTGTATTGGCCGCAGCAGGAGCTGCCACAGCAGCTGCAGTTTGTTGTGGGGCGCAGCAACAGCAGCAGCAGCAGCAGCAGCTGGTCGGGGCCCATCATAGCGAGCGAGGAGACAGCAGGAAGGAATTGGGTTGCTGTCTTCACCCGTGAGGCGAACAAAGCTGCACAGCCAGGTAATAAGAGGAGACACCTGCAGAGACAGACAATAAAGAGGCAAGGAGACAGTAAAAGAAAGAGACAGAGAGAGATTGGCCAAGAGACAAACAGAGACAAACGGAGAAATGGAAATAGAGACAAACAGAGACGGAGACATAAAGAGAGAGGCAGAGACAGAGACAGACAAATAAACAAATAGAGACAGACAGACAAACGGAGACAGATAAATCAGCAAAGATGCAAATACAGAGACAGACAAAGAGACAGAGAGAGACAGACAGCGATAACTGTCTCCACATCTGAGATGCACAGGGGAAGAAAGGGCTGTGATCTCGCTCTTAGACAGCTTTGTGCTGCTGCTGTTGCTGCTGCTGGTACTGTTGCTGCTGCTGCTGCTGTTTGCTTGTTCCCTGCATTTTGGTGTCTCTTGTCTCCTTTGCTGTTGCCCTCAGTTGCCTCTCTGCTGCTGCCGCTGTTTGTCTGTCTCCTCTGTTGTGCTGCGTCTTCCCGCTGCTGCTGCTCTCCATCTCTTTCTTTCTTTTGCTTTTTTGTGCTGTTTGTTGGCTCCTTTGTTGCTGCTTTTGTCTGTCACGTGTATGGTGTGGTGGGCTGCCTTCTTTGCTGCTGCTGCCTGTCCTTCCTTCTATATATTTGTCTGTATCTATGTCTATCTATCCATCTGTATGTATGTATATCTACCTATCTACCTGTATGTATATCTATATCTCTATCTATCTATCTATCTATCTATCTATCTATTTATCTATCTCTCTATCTATCTATCTATCTATCTATCTGTCTATCTGTATCTATATCAATGTATCTATCTCTGTTGTTGTTTTTTGCCTGTCTCCTTTTAGGGGTGTACGCAGTGGATGTGTCTCCTGAAGGGGGTGTAAAGAGCATTGCAGTAAGAGGGACAGACACCCCAGGGGCCTTCGTGGTGCGCAATTGCTGTGAGGCAGTGCAGCGCGTTATGGTGCATACCTTCCATACAGAGATGAACAGCAGCAGCAGCAGCAGCAGCAGCAGCAGCAGCAGCAGGCAGGGAGGAGGGAGACCCCCTGAAGCTGATTGCCACTTCTTCGCCCACTCAGGACAATCTGTCGTCTTCGGGTGGCCATTCCCCTTCCTCTACAAATCTAGACCTGTCAGCAGCAACACCAGCAGCAGCAGCAGCAGCAGCAGGAAGGCTAGCAGCAGCAGCAGCAGCAGCAACATGGCTAGCAAAAGCAACAACCAGGCTAGCAAGAGCAGCAACATCAGCATTAATGCCAACAGGATAGCACCAGAAACAACACTAGCAATAATAACAACACTAACAGCGGCAGCAACAAGGCTAGCAGAAGCAGCACCAGTAGCAGCAGCAACAACACCCCTAGCAGCAGCAGCAACACCACTCTAGTAGCTAGCAGCAGCAACAGCAGCATCACCACTGGCAGCAGCAGCAACACCACGCACAACCGCCACTAACAGCAGCAGCAGCACCACCGCCGCCACTAGCAGCAGCAGCAGCAGCACTAGCAGCAGCAGCAGCAGCACTAGCAGCAGCAGCAGCACCACCACCACAACTAGCAGCAGCAGCAACCTCCGTCTCTCATCCTTTACTGTACATACTTGCGTTTATTGCCTTTTGTTCTGCTGCAGTGTCAGGTGCTGCTGTGGCTGGACAGCAAGACGGTGGCTCCTAAGCAACCAATTTGCTTAGATATGGGGGCCCCGCAGCAGAAGCGTTACGAAGTGCTGCTGGGTGTAATAGGGCTTCCTGATCTTATTGTTGCAGTTGAGAAGATTAAAGATAATTCTATTATTACCGTTGCAGCAAAAGACAATAAATTATACAAACAATTATACCCGCAAACACAAACGCCTGCTCTCCTCAGTGACCCCACTGCTCAAGCAGATACTGTAAGAGTTAAACTATTCATTTGTTGTGGTTTGCTGCTGTTGCTGCTGCTGTTGCTGCTGCTGTTGTTGCTGTTGCTCTGCTGCTGTTGCTTTGCTGCTGCTGTTGCTGTTGTTGCTTTGCTGCTAGAAGCTGCTGCTTCTGGTGCTGAGTTTTGCTGCTGCTCCTACTGGTTTCTTCAGGGGGATCAGCAGCAATAACCCCTCTCTGTGGTTCTGCTTCTGCTGCGAAGAGATGCATGCACATCTGCATGCACAGGTGCATGTGTGCGTGCATTCATACATACATACATGCATGCACAGCAGCATGCATGCATGTACGCACAGCTACATGCGTGCTTGCACGCATGCATGCATGCACAGACAGATGCATGCATGCATGCATGCATGATTTTGTTTCGTGTGTGTGTGTGTGCATGCACATGCGCATGCGTTGCAGAAGGTGGAGAGTGCGTTCGCGAGTTTCGACTTGGCATTGAAATTGGAGGGAATTGGAGTGTCTCTAATTTGCGATGGTTTAGGAGAAGAGTTATGTTTTATCAGTCTGCTGCGAGCAGCAGCAGGGATGCAGCAGCGGGGAGACAAACAAAAAGTAGTGCTGCGCATACAGCGCATGCAAATAGATAATCAATTAGAGTCCAGCAGCAAACCCGTGGTGTTTACAAATAGAGGAGGCAGAGGCCTCCCTAGTCACGATCCCCAGGTACGCCCCACAAGGTGTATGTACACCCCAACTCTGCATGCGCACAGATTATAACAAGGCATCTTATCTATAGGCAACACCCCACACCAATACCAATGCATGCAAAGAGATGCATGCATGCATGCATGGATTTATCTGCAGATGCGTTAATAGTGCATGCGAATAGCAACAGTATACAGCCTTATATGTTTTGTAATGAAGGACAAACGCTGAGAAACAATTATCTAATTATTATATCACTAGTAGATGAGAACGTAGACATTCACCCATGCGTCCATTCTTGGTGCAGCGTAGTTGATGCTGTTGCTGTTGCTGCTGCTGCTGCTGCTGCTGCATGCATGCGCTGCGGTGTCTCCTCAGAGTTGGGGGGACTCCCCCCCTCCCGGCTGCGCTCCTTTTCTTACTTTGTTTGTCGTTCGCATTAATACAGGCAGCCGCGATTTCGTAATTAAAAGGGCTTTAATAGATATTGATGATCTTGAAGTAGATATTGATGCAGATATGCTCAATGGGCTCAATGTACGTACACCCCAAATAAAATACCCATAATATATGCTCCTGCTGCTGCTGTTGCTGCTCCTGCTGCTGCTGCTGCTGCATGCCATGTCATTGCTGCTGCTGCTGCTCCATGATGCTGCTGTTGTTGCTGATGCTGCAGCTGTTGCTGCTGATGCTGCTGCTGCTGTTAGCTACTGCATGTTCTTGCTGCTGCAGTTGCAAGTTGCCGTTGCTTCTGTTGGTGCTGCAGATGCAGCCGCAGCCACAGCATTAGCAGCAGCATTAGCAGCAGCATGAGCAGCAGCAGGTGTCGATACAGTGCTGGCTGTTTTGTGTTGTTTCTTGTGTGTTTATTCAGGGCTTCGCTTCTTCTTGTTTGCTTGCATTAGGTTGTTCTGCTGCTGCTGCTACTCGTTCGGTGTCTATAGAGGATTTAGGTGTATGGACAGCTAGCTCTTTGATGGAGCATTACTCTCCACCCCCTCTTCCTTGCATTTTATCTCTTGAATCTCTCGTTATATCTCGGTTTAGAGTTTATTGCTGGTGCTCTTTCCTCCTCGACAAGATGCACATGATATCTGATCTGTTAAAGTTAGGGCTCAGAATACTCATGGTCTCAGGCAGACTTGAACTCACAGTAAGAAATCAAACACCTGCTGCTGCTGCTGCTGCTGCTGCTGCTGATGTTGCTGCTGCTGTTGCTACTGCTGCTGCTGCTGCTGATGTTGCTGCTGCTGTTGCTACTGCCGCTGCTGCTGTTGTTCTTGCTGTTGCGGTTGTTGTTGCTGCTGTTGCTGTTGTTGCTGCTGCTGCTTCTGCTGCTGCGGGTGGTGCTGCTGCGGATGCTGTTGCACACGTCCGAGCAGCGCTGCTGCGGCTGCTACTGATGCTCATATGGTCGCACTCAGTGCTGTTGCTGCTGCTTCTGTTGCTGCTGCTTCTCTCTCCACGTGTTGCTCTTTTTCCGGGCTGGGATCAATTACTGCTGCTTCTGCTGCTGCTGCTACTTTTGGAGTGGCTGGTGCTGCAGGTGTTGCAGCTGCAGCAGCAGCATTGCTGTATTTGCTGTTTTTCTGCGTTCGTTTGTACATTTGTTTGTGTATGGATTTGTTGTTTTGTTTATTTGTTTTTGTTTTGTTTGCCCGGTGAGGGATTTATTTATTTATTTATTTGCTCGTTGCTGCGTATCGATTCAATTAATTAATTAAACAGTTTATTTACTGCAATGTCTGCTTAACTCTATTTAAATATAAATATTTTTTAGTATTTGTTATTCGTTTGTTTGTTTATTTATGCATTGCTGTATTCAATCAATTATTTATGTTTGTTGCTTCATTCTATTTATTTATTTATTCCTTCATTCGGTTTATTTACTTATTTACTCGCTTATTTTTACATTTATCTATTTAATTATTTCTTAGCTTGGTCTATTTATTATTATTTATCTATTGGTTCACTCTATGTATCTACTTATTAATTAAGTTATTTGTTCTATTGCATTTATTTATGTATTTCTTTATTGATGCACTGATTGTTTGACCTACTTATTTATTTATTTATTTGTTCAATTAATTAATTAATTAATTAGCTTATTTATTTATTTATTTGTTTATTTATTCTGTCGATGAAATAATGAATTAGTTTTTATATTTATTTACTTGCGTATTTATTATACACTTATTTATTTATTTAATGTTTATTTAATGTTTATTTAATATTTATTTATTTATTTATTTATTTATTTATTTATTTATTTATTTATTTGTGTTTGTTTGTAGGGGGCTCGTTTAACCTTTGGTCCGGCGGAGTTTCGATATTTGCGGGGTACAGCGAAATCTTTTTTGTTTTGTTTGCAAGAGCGTTATACATATGATTTATTATCTTCATTATTATCATCATTAGGCCGTTCTTCTTTATTAAATTTGCCTCGTATGCCTTATGAATTTGGTAGAAATACAATAGGGTTAGCAGCAAATGCTGTAGACAGTGTATCTTCAGGTCTAGGGTCTTTATTATCTACATTTACATTTGATGAGGAGTATATTCGTTTAAGAAGTAATCAAAGAAAAAGAAAAGCTTCGGGTGTACGTGAAGGCTTCTTCTCTGCTGGTAGAAATATAGGAGAAGGTGTATGGGCGCTATCAAGCTTCGTATCTCAGCCAATAGATGCAGCAAAGAAAGAAGGTTTTAGCGGCTTCTTTAAAGGTGTAGGTAAAGGTTTATTAAGTACTTTTATTAAACCTATTGATAAACTAGGCCAAGCTGTCTCTGATATCACAAGAGGAATTCAAGCTGAATGTAGTAAGCCTCTGGGTGCTCTTCAATCTTTTACTAAAAGATCAAGATACCCCCGTCTTGTCCTTCACCAAGCCCACATACGGTCAGAAACAAAACCACAAAAATATGCACATACACACTAGTGCATGCGAATGCATGCAAATGCATGCAAATGCATGCAGATATGTGTAAATGCATGCAGATATATGCAAATGCATGCAAGTGTATGCAGTTATATGCAAATGCATGCATATATATATATATATATATATATATATATATATATGCATAGAAATGCATGCAAATATATGCAAATACATGCACATATATACACATGCATGCAAATGCATGCAAATGCATGCAAATATGTGCAAATATATGTAAATATGTGTAAATATGTGTAAATGCATGCAAATGAATGCATTTGCATGCAAGTGCATCTGGGGCATAACACTCCTGCCGCGTACTTTCTTCTCTCAGTCAATAACTAATAGCACCTGCTGCTGCTGCAACGGCAGCAGCTGCAGCAGCAGCAACAGCAGCACTGAAGCAGCAACACTCTGCCAGTGCTTGTTGCTATTGCAGTGCGGGTTACCGTCCATGATTCCTGCTGCTGCTGCTGTATTGCTGCTGTTGCTTCTGCTGCTGCTGCTGGGTGTTATTTGCTGCAGGCCTTACAACGAAACAGAAGCGCAGCTGCGCCAGAGTTTGGGGCTTTCTTTGCTGCGACGCATGCAGCAATGCATGCTAGTAATGCAGCAGGAGGCCCCTGAGCGCAGCCAACTGGCTGTCTTGTTCTTCCCTCAAGACATCTTCCTCGTTAAGGTTACGGCAGATGAACCACCGCAGCAGCAGCAGCAGCAGCAGCAGCAGCAGCAGCAGCAGCACGGGCAGCAGCAGCAGCAGCAGGGGCAGCAGCAGCAGCAGCAGGGGCAGCAGCAGCAGCGGCAGGGGCAGCAGCAGCAGGGGCAGCAGCAGCAGGAGCAGGAGGAGGAGCAGCAAGGGCAGGCCGCACGAGAAGAAGGCAGCCGGGTTCAGGTACTGTGGCGTCTCAATGTAGAAGCAATTAATTCAATTAAAATAAGCAGCAAAGGAGTAGAGGTGAAGGCAGCAAAGACTGCAGAAGAACATACACCCGAAAGTTCACTAGCAACTGTCTCCTCTCTGCGGCGGCCTGCGAGGGATACGGAGGGAGACACAGACACTCCAGCAGCAGCAGCAGCAGCAGAAGCTCAGACTTACTTCATTCCCTGTGAAGATGCAGCACGAGCTCGCGAGGTGTATAGGGAGCTCCTTGAAATTAAAAGAGGCAGCAAAACTGTTGTTCGTCTCGGTACAAAAAGCACCCGCTAGTCTGCAGCAATGTTCTTTAAAATAATGCAGCAGCAGCAGGAGCTGCTTCAGCAGCAGCGCTAAGAGCTGCTGCAGCATCTGCAGCAAGAGCTGCTTCAGCAGCAGCAGCAGGAGCTGCTGTTGCAACTGCAGCATCAGCACGACTAGCACCTGCAGCAGCACATGCTAGTCGCAACAGCTGCTAGCCGCCTCTCTTTGTTGAGAGCAGCTGCAGCATTTCCTGAGGGACAGAACCAGCAGAATGCATGCATTCATGCATGCAGCAGAATGCATGCATGCATGGATGCATGGATGCATTCATGCATGCAGCAGAATGCATGCATGCATGGATGCATGGATGCATTCTGCTGCTTGTAGATGTTGCAGCTTTCTTTGTATACACCGGAGCCTCACTGCTGCCCATCGAGCTATTGCTACTAGGAGACCCCTGCAGCACTTAGCAGGCCTCTAGGGGCTTATCAGCAGCAGCAGCAGCATCTGCAGCAGTAGCAGCATCATCTGTAGCAGTAGGATCCCTTAGCTGTATCAGTCTTTCTCACCCCTATATATATATATATATATATATATATATATATATATACTAATGGCCTCCATGAGGAGACAGAATGAAGGAAATGCTCTAAGAGACATTTGTTTGTCTCTTGCGCTGTCTGCATGAGAAGAAGAGACAGCTGAAGGAAGAAGGCTACGGGCATACAGCTTTTATTAATTTTACTACGGTGTCTCCTAGTTGATGCGGAGTTGCCTTTGCTGCAACCAGCAGCAGCAGCAGCAGCAGCACGCCATCCTTCTCTAGAGGTGCTGGAAAGGGAGCTGCAGCAGCAGCAGCACCTGCTGCTTCCGCTGTTGCAGCGGTGAGTCACGAGGAGACAGGAGGAGACAGTGCGCAGCAAACTGTCTCCTTCCCTTCTCCTATACTGGTCTCTACCTATTTAGTTGATGGTTGTTAAGAGCAGCAGATACCTCAAAAAACCCTTAAGCCTACTGCAGGGCCTCAGGGGCCCCCACTAGCAGATAGGGGCTCCCACTTGCTGTTCGCTGTTTGCTGCAGTGTTTCATTCTAATAAAACCCTACTGAGTTGAGGTGTATAGACAGCGCAGATAAATAACACCCTAACAGCAGCAGTGGGGCGGCTGTTATTCTGCTGGCTGCCCTGTGGGCCCTTTTATGCAGCCTGTTGTTGTTACTCAGGTGTACGTACAGCTGCTGCGGGGCGCTGCTTCTGCTGCTGCTGCTGCTGCTACCGCCTTGTTTGTCGTTGTTGCTGCAATTTACTGTATTTGCAGCTGTCTATCTGCGAATAAGAGACTGCTAATGCTAGAAATGAAGAGAAGTAGCACTGAGGAGGGCATCTGTAGGAGTTGTAGCAGCAGCAGCAGCAGCTGCTGCTGCTGCTGCTGGCTGCTGCTGCTGTGGTGTTACTGCATTTGTATTGCTTGCTTCTTTTATTAAGGAGTATTATTTCTGTTTATTTTTATTAACCTTCATCTAAACGGTCTGTATGAGGACTGAAGATGAGGGGCCCCAGGGGCCCCCATTGCTGCTGGCTGCAGCAGCAGCAGCAGCTGCTGCTGCTGCTGCTGTCGCCCTGTCTCGGCAGTGGCCTATCGGCTGCTGCTGCGCGGTTCTGCTGCTGCTATCTGTCTCTGCTGCTGAGGGGGTTTAGTGTTTGCATTTTGTTTTTCTTTTGAGGCTTTTGCCTCCTTTAGGAGCTTCTTCCTTTCTGCGGGAGTCTGTACAGTGCCCTGCTGCAGCAGCAGCAGCAGCAGCAGCAGCAGCAGCAAGCACCCCAGCCACACAACGAGGTAGGAACTTCTGGCTGAGCAGCAGCAGTCACCTGTTAATACCCCACATAGCAGCACCGGGGGACGCAGCATTTTAGTTATATCTTTTTGTTTTGCTGCTGCTACATCTCTTCCTTTGCTGCTGCAGCACGGAGCAAGTTGCTGCTGCAGCTGCTGCTCCTGCTGCTCCTCCCGCTTACGTCTAGGGCCCCTCTAACCCTCTTTCCTATCTTCTATCAGTCTCTTCTTTGCTTCTTTCTCTGTTTATCTGCTGCAGCAGCTGCTTCTTGGCTTAGAGAGGGCTCTCTGCTTGCTCTGTACAGCAATAAACTACGAACAAACTCTTCAACAAGACAGACAGCTTTTCTATACACTTCGTAGCTCCATCTCCCTTGAATGTAACAGCAGCAGCAGCAGCACAAACGCAGCTGTACGTACACCCAATTAGACTCATGCTAAGTCCTGCAGTCTCCTCTGCAGTTGCTGCACTGCCTTGGGCCCCCCACCAAGCCTAGGCAGCAGCAGCAGCAGCAGCAGCAGAAGCAGAAGCATCCGCAGCTACAGCAACCGCCGCGGCAACAACAACAGCCTTGCCGGAGGCAGCAGTAGCGGCAGCAGCATCAGCAGCAGTAGCAGCAGCAGCAGCAGCAGCTGCTGCTGCTGCTGCTGCAGGGGACCCTCAACCTTCTGCATTTGCGTGTCTTGGTGCTTAACTCTGTCTGCGATTTCAGCTGCTTCTTCCTTTTATTATATTAGTATCTGCTGGTTCTGTTGTTTGTTTTTGTTCTTGCTTTATTTGTCTGTCTATACAGCTGGGGGCTGCTGCTGTCTGCTTTGAAGAGGCTTGCGTTGCTGCTGCCTGAGGAGGCGCTGCTGAGGTGTACATACACCTCGCTGGGCCCCGCTGCTGCAGCAACAGCTAGCTGCTGTCTTTCTGTGGTTTTGCTGGTGGCCTGCTGGAGCAAAGTATAAAAAATGAACAAAAAGAGAGGAAGGAGACAGCACTTAGGGGACGTCAATAGGTCAGCTGTAGGGGGATTGGTTGCGGTGTCTGCCTCACTCCCGCTGCTGCTGCTGCTGCTGCTGCAGCTGCTGCTGCTGCTCCTCACTGAAGCTTCAGCCTGGGCCTTCTCCGATATCTCTGGCATATCGGGGGGCGCTCTGCTGCCGCCGCAGCAGCAGCAGCAGCACCTGCTGCAGCAGGGGCTCCGCGTATCTATCCCTTCCTCTCTACATCGCCCGCTGTCTCCTGCCTTCCTTCTCTCCAGTAGAGGGCAGCAGCAGCAGCAGCAGCAGCAGCTTTCAGGCCTCAGCTGCTGCGTAAACAAGACAGAGGGGGGCGCCGTTGAGTGCCGGACGCTCCTCTTCCCTAGAAGACATAGTCGGCCCCCCGCTACTGCTGCTGCTGCTGCTGCTGCTGCTGCTACTGCTGCTGCTGCAGCAGCTGCCGCCCAGCCCCAGCCTCGCAGAGGAGCTGCTGCAGTATCAGCAGCAAAAGCAGCAGCAACAGCAGCAGCAACAGCTGCAGCCGCAACAGCAACGTCGATGCAGCCTGTAAGCTGTCTATACACTGCAGCATTACGCTTCCTTCCCTCTCTCTTGAACTGCATTTGTTAGATTTGTCACAGCAGCATTTAGTTGCTGTCTCTGGGGCGAGGAGTATCTGCGGCAGCTTCTGCAGGTGCTGCTGCTGCTGCTGCTGTTTGCTGCTGCTGTGGGGTGTACAGACACCTGAAGAGGCCCCGCCCCCCCTCACCGGCCCTCAAAGGGCTCAGGCTGAGGAGGTGGCGAGACAGCGGGGGCCCTGGATGGATGCAAAGGATCCACTAGCAGAATATGTTAAGCTACACGGGTGCGCAGCTTCTGCTGTCTCCGCTGTCTCTTCTTCTGTCTCCTCCTGTGTGTGTTGCGCTCTATCTGTCTCTCTCTGTGTATCTGTCTGTCTCTCTCTCTCTATCTCTCTCTGTCTCTTTCTCTCTCTGTCTCTCTGTCTCTCTGTCTTTCTCTGTCTCTGTCTCTTTTTCTGTCTCTTTTTCTGTCTCTTCTTCTGTCTCTTTCTGTCTCTGCCTCTTTGTCTCTTTTTTCTGTCTCCTTTCTCAGGACGTCTTTGCAGCTGTTTTCGGTCTGTCTGTCTCTCTGTCTCTCTCTCTCAGTGCTTCACTGCGCTTCTCTTTCTTTCCTGCTGTTCTTGCTGCTGCATCTGCTGCTGCTGCATCTGCTGCTGCTGCATCTGCTGCTGCTGCATTTGCTGCTGCTGCAGAGGGGACCGGCCTATTCGGCGCATATTGATAGCGAACAATGGGATGGCAGCAACAAAGGCGATCGCCTCCATGCGCCAGTGGGCATTCGAAACCTTCGGAGACCCTAATGTTAGTTCTGCTGCTGCTGCTGCTGCTGCTGTAATTGCTGTTGTTGCTGCTGCTGTAATTGCTGCTGCTGCTGCTGTAATTGCTGCTGCTGCTGCTGCTGCTGCTGTAATTGCTGCTGCTGCTGCTGCTGCTGTAATTGCTGCTGCTGCTGCTGTAATTGCTGTTGCTGCTGCTGCTGTAATTGCTGCTGCTGCTGCTGCTGCTGCTGCTGCTGTAATTGCTGCTGCTGCTGCGGTAATTGCTGTTGTTGCTGCTGCTGTAATTGCTGTTGCTGCTGCTGCTGTAATTGCTGATGTTGCTGCTGCTCTAATTGCTGGTGTTGCTGCTGCTGTAATTGCTGTTGCTGCTGCTGTAATTGCTGTTGCTGCTGCCATTGCCGTTTTTGCTGCTGCTGTAATTGCTGCTGTTGCTACTGCTGCTGCTGCTCTACTGGCTGCTGCTGCTGGTGTTTTACCTGTTGCTGCTTTGGGGGTGATAGGAGGGGTGGATAGCTGATAGGCGTATGCATCTGTTGCTGCTGCTGTACCTGCTTCTTCTGCTGCTGCTGTTGCTGCTGCTGCTGCAGCTGCTGACGTTTGTGGTAATGGCTTCATCAGAAGACTTAGAAGCAAACAGCGAATTTATCAAGAAAGCAGACTTCATCGTTCCTGTCCCTGGGGGCCCCAGCAGGGAGAACTATGGAAATGTCTCCTTGATTTGCGACATAGCCGTCAAACAAAAGGTCCGTTACATGCAGCAGCAGCAACACTTGTCCCCTTGCAGCAGCAGCAGCAGCAGCAGCAGCAACAGCAGCAGCAGCAGCAGGAGCAGCATTAGGAAATGTGTTTTGGGTAGTCTATTTCTGTGTGTCGCTCAGTTTGTATTATTTGTCTTATTTTGTTTCATAGCTGCTGGCGCATATATATATATATATATATATATATATATATATATATGTATCTATATG